GCATTTGAGCAACACTACTTCATAATATTATAAAAATATAGTTAATATATAATAAGGAACATAAATCATACCCTTTACTCGCAAGTGTCTAGATATATCCACTTACCAATTTTATTTTTTATAAATTGAAAATGTTTCTCAATTTCAGTATTCCAATGGTTCCAATATGAGGTTCTTGTAAAAAATCACTAATTATAAAATATTGTCAGACATTGAAAAATCCGAAATAAAATAAATATAACATCCCATTCGCTTAATCACTTATCGTATTCGATTCTAAAGGGTAACTGAAGTAATAGTGGCTTTAATTAATTAATGATTCTGTGTTTTAATTAAGTAAAAACCTTGTGAAAATGATTTGTTTTCTCGAATTGAGTAACAAAGGTCATGATGAGAGCTGTCCATTTAGTAAAACAAAATTTAAGAATTCTGGTTAATTTATTAAGTAGAAAATTTTTAAATAAACATTAATGATTACATAATTCATTTCACAAGGTTGGATTCATTATTCTTTTCAAAGCATAACCATAACTTCCTCGGCTTTTTTTTTTGGAATAAAATTATCATTCAAATTATTAATTTTGAATTATGTAATATTAAATTTTAAATCTTGAGCACATCTGAACAAAATAAAATCTGATAATTCAAGTATAAAAAGTTTGAAGATGGAGAATATTGAAGTAAAAACTGATAAATGTTAATACTGATAAATTAAATACACTAGCGGATCCAGGATTTAATTTTGGGAGGGCGGGCTTCAGCCCGAAAACTTTTTTTGTTCATAAAAATAACGATCATTATTCTGGAAAAAAAGAAAGAAACTAACTGCCTATATAAAATGGTGTTTAAGTGATTCCTGAAGCCCTTTTAAATTTAATTACACGAACAATAATACTTTGAGAGATAATATATTTATATTTTTTTCGATAAAACATGGTTCCATTTTCCCATTTTGGGGGAGAGGCTTCAGCCCGAAAGCCTCCCCCCCCCCCCTCCTAGATCCGCCCGTGATGATAATCAACCATATATTGTCTAAGTCATTTTTAGTGGGATTTTTATTTAATTGTTACATTTGAATCAATAATAGATTAAGGTTTAAAAAGACCACAATTTCCACTAACATTTATCATTAGTAATAATAACAATAATAAAAGGCTTGGGTAATCCGAAGGTTCGATGCCGACACCACCAATCGCTTGTTACACACCTCCCTCCACCGTTCGCCGTCCAAACCCAGTCCCTTCAGATCGGCCGTAATGCAATCTTCCCACCTTCGCTTCGGTCCACTAGCGGATCCAGGATTTAATTTTGGGGGAGGGCTTCAGGCCGAAACCTTTTTTTTTTCATAAAAATAACGATAATTACTTTGGAAAAACAGAAAGAAACTAACTACCTATATGAAATGGTGTTTAATTGATTTCGTAAGTCCTTTTAAATGTAATTACACGAACAATAATACTTTAAGAGGTATTTTAAAACTTTTTTTTCCCATAAAATATGGTCATATTTTACCATTTTGGTGGGGGGGGGGAGTTCAGCATGAAAGCTCCCCCTCCCCCCCGTAGATCCGCCCGTGCTTCGGTCTACCCCTCGGACGTTTACCATTCGGTACAACATATATTAACCTTTTGGGAATTCTCTCGTTACTAATCCCAACAATTTTACAAGCCCGTTTGATTATCGGGTAATATACCGCGATGAAATCACTTAAATTATGTTATCCGGATATAGTTCACGCAATTCGGCGTTGTGTTACCTTCTGAACTCTCCGGTTAATTCATCCTTCTTCGGCCCGAATATTCTACGCAATACTTTATTTTCAAAAATCTTAAGCCGTTGCTCATCCCTTAACATAAGAGGCCACGTTTCGCATCCATAAAGAACTGTAGGCAAGACAATGTTTTTATGGATTCTAATTCGGGACAAAAGGCGCGAGCTAAGTAGTTTTGTCACAGAAAAATAACAAGCATTTCCCGCCTAACAAGCATTTTTGATAAAGCTAAAATTTTAAGAACATTTTTCTGAATATTATCTTATTAATTGGTGAAAAAAAAAAAAGAAATGACACAAATTCTGTAAATACCAGCATAGTTTCAGGAAGGAAAGTATTGCGAACGGGTCAAATTTCCAATATACTGTTTTCGACGGATTTATACGTTTCAGAGTACAGATTTTCTATCCAAGATTTTCTCGGAAACTACTGAACCGATTTTGTTGCTTCTTTTTTGATTTTGTAGGGTTTTGACTACCACGGGCAGATCAACGGGGGGGGGGAGCTTTCGGGCTGAAGCCCCCCCCCCCCAAAATGGAAAAATATAACCATGTTTTATGGGGAAAAAAATTAAAAAATACCTCTTAAAGTATTATTGTTCGTGTAATTACATTTAAAAGTACTTAAGGAGTAAATTAAACACCATTTCATATAGGTAGCTAGTTTCTTTTTGTTTTTCCAAAATAATTATCGTTATTTTTATGAAAAAAAAAGGTTTCGGGCTGAAGCCCCCCCCAAAATTAAATCATGGATCCGCTAGTGTTGACTACTGATGCCTACGATAAAAATTGACTGCTCCAAGCGCAATAGCTGCTGTGTAAGAAATGAAAAACATGTTGTTTTTTTAAAGGTAATTAAATTACCCACAAAACTATATAAAAATTTCGGACAATAATAACGACGTTATAGTTATTCAATTTGCAATGTAAGATTAAGGGTTCATATCCTGGTGTCAGAAAGGAGTGAATTAGTGAAAACAGATAACTAAGTGAGAGTAAGAAAATCTGTTGCCAAAATCACACAAGCTTCACTATTTCCTCTACTTTTAACCGATATTATTGTTTGACAACAACTAAGCTAAAGTTTTTGATCAGCAATATTAGAAGGTATTGAAATGTTTACACCGATCTACCTTAAGCCGGTTTACATTGCTTTAGTTTATCAAATAATTCGTATTTCAATTCTTTTCTTTGATCAATTTTCAGGAAAAAAAAAATCGAATTCAATTTTTTTTTGTATCTTCGTGAACATATGTAAAGATATTAAAACTATTCTGGAATAGGTAGGAAAGTCGTGTGAGTGGACACACCAGATGTTTACGTTTCCAATTGCTTTGAGCTGGTCATAGATGGTGGATTTTTTAAGACTAAATTTCCCTGTAGGTTCTCGAACAGTTAGTTTTTCTGGAGTTTTCTTCCACCAAAGCTCGCAGAACATCATCATCAAGAGAGGAAGTTCTTCCACGATCTTCTCTGTCTTCAAGGGTGAAGTCTCCCTCACGAAATTTTTTGAACCAACGTTGAACAGTGCACTCATTAATGCTGCTCTCGTCTCAGACTTGATTAATGTTTTTGGCCGTCTGCATTCCATTACCGCCGGGTTTAAATTTATAAAACAAAATTATACGAAAATCACGCATTGATATCTTAATAACAGACAGAGGCAAACAAACAATATCGTTTGGAATAGGCCTAATAAGTGATGATATTCATACAAATGAATTATCCAGTAAACGTAAACAGTTAGTTATTTAGTGGGGTATTTTAAAGAAAACTCAAAATCCTGCATTATTTTTTCGAACTACCCAATAATTACCGATTTAATTGTTATATTTTAATTATACCTTCGTAATATATCAACTGTGGGACAAAAAGATTGTTTTTATAATTTCTGATATGAGTCAAACTATGGTTAAAATTTTAATTCCAAATCATAAGATGTATTAATAGCGAAAATAAATTTTTTGTTGAAAATAATGACAAAATAGTAATTAGAAATGAAATAATAAAACTGTTCATTGAATAGAAACTGCATAGCCATTTTATAAATACATCAGTGTGATGGCAGAAGTTTCATTGGAACAACCATCAAAATAGTTTAAAGTACAATAGAGCTGTCATTAGGCGTCATATCAGACATGTTACTTTGCAAAAGGTCAGGTAATTCAAATTTCTTTTTGTATTGTAAGGCATATTAGTGAATAGGTATTGTTAGTCAATATAAAAAATTCAAGTTTCCACCCATGAAAGCTTTGTGGATTCACTGCAGTGCTCCACAAACCATTGAAATTTCGAACTTTTTTTGGTTTACGCTAAATATCTCCTTTTTAGAGTGACATAGATAAAAAATGTTTATATCAAATCATAAACAGCTTACAATTCTCTAACGTTTTTGTACATAACATTTTTTTCTAAACCCAACAGGAAGCAAACTATCGAGCTTTCAAAATGGGGAAAGTTTAAAAAAAAAAAATATTTACAATTAAATTATCGTATAAATATTTGTCAGTCAATACAAACAAATATTAATACAATCTTTATAGCACTATAACGATTGTATTAATACAATAAACTATCAAGCTTTCGAAATGGGGCAGGTTTAAAAAAAAAAGTAATCAGTGTTTTACAAATAAAAATGTATTCTTAAATTTTAAAAAATAATAATGTTTCAGCACATTATTTTGATTGTATTAACAAACAAATATTAATACAAGAATTTAATTGTCCAAAACATTTTATTTTTATTTTTACTTCCTATATTCTTTAATAACACTATAACTCTATCATTTATAAGTACTGAATGATTTTCATAACAATAACTGTAAGTGATTATAAAAATTAAATTATATTATTTCTAAAAAAAAGATGCCGATGTCGGATTCAGATTATATAATTCTTTGTATTTACAATTTTTTTTCTTACCTAAAAAAGTTCCATATTGAAACATGTTATAAATTTTATTATTGCACTTACATTTATTTTGAGTTTCAGACACTTTTATATTATATCAAATATATATATTGTTTTTAGGTAGATGGAAAAATGATAAAACAACTTAAGTATCATTTTAATTATGTACATTTTTACATTTATTAATTTTTATAATTAAATTTTAATTTTTGTATATTTTTACATTTATTTAACTTACATTTATTTGTTTAGTACCCAGAGATTCATTCAGGTGTACCAAAATTAGCATTCAGACAAAACCAAAATGAAAAAAAAAAAAAATTATACAATTAACTTATTACAATTTATTTGATGTATAAAACATTAAAATAGAATATAAATATGACCATGGATAGGATACAAATAACAGAGGAAGGACATACGTTGGGTTCAGAATAAATCTGCAACTTATGCCTTCCAAATCGTCAGAATTGGGAATGAACACACTGAGTCTCAGCTACAGGGGACTAATGAACAGACCAAGCCACAAGTCAAATGGTGAATGCAGGACTTGCCCCTACCTGTTTAAGTGACGACTGCTCTGGCCGGAATGCATATATCCTGGCCGCAAAATTGACCCAACTCACTACCGGGAAGGCATATATCCCTTCCGTACCAGTGACCTAACTCTTAACGGGAATGCATGTATCCCGTCTGCAGTTAAAGGGTTAACACGGCATATTTCTTATTCTTAGGATATTCGTTATCAATATTAGTGCAAATGACATCCAAATCTTCCCCATTTACAAAAATAGGTGAAAATGTGTTTTGGAATCAATACTTACACCTATGCCAAAAACGAAGCTACAAACAACAGCAGGTAGGAAATAAAAACTTAGTTAAAATGACTAATTAAAAGTATATTTTTTCAATGAAGAAGTTCACTAAATATGATATTTGAGACACATGTAGGGCACTCTAATATACCAGAAAAAAAGACACATTATTCAGGGTTTGAAGATTGTACCTTATAAATATAAAAAAATTTTACTTTTATACTTTTATTTTAATGGAAGATATACCTATATTTAAAAATAATTGTAAATACTTAAAATTTTACTATAAAATAAATAAAAATTTATAATAGTTTTAATACAAATTTATTAATTATCATTGCGTTATATACATACATATAATATTAAAAATGAGTAAAATAAATAATATCAGTTCGAAAATATAATATTTAAATTTTGTGAGATCCATGTTAAGTATAAGTTGGCAAATAAGTCCTTTCGGTTTTTCTGTTTATTTTTGTGTCACTATGATACACTTCTTATCTGATGAATTAATCCTTAAGGTGGATTGTTTATCTTGTTTTTAATAAGTCAACAACTATATCTGTTAACTCTTGTTGAAACTAGCTTAGTATTGTGTTTGCTGAAAGAAAAAAAACTGAAAGGACTTATTTGATAACTCAATAATAAGTGAATTGTTTGATAGACTATCTATTATGCAAATTGAAATAGTATCCTCTTCTTTCCATCAGCTGTTCATGATTTCCTTCTTCCATGACTACACCTGATTGCAGTACAACTATCTTATCTGCCTTCCGGATCATTGACAGTCGGTGTGATATCACAATGGTTGTTCTACCAACGGAAGCATTCTCTAATGCTTCCTGTACAGCCTGTGAAAACAAATATTATTCATTTATTAGATTTTTACAGCAATACACGGAGCATAATCATGATATTTTCAAAATAAATTCTAATAACAGTTCATATTCTATATTTTAAAGAAAAAGTATATAATAATTATGTTTGTCAAAGAGGGAAAGATAAGTCTAAATAAAGAATGTGAAGAGAAGAAATCAGAAAGAAGAGAAGAAAAGACATACCCATATTAGAAATTTATATTCAATTTAGGAAAATGTGTCTCTAGAACTTTTCATATATTCTTTCTGGTTGTAATTGTTTTTCCATAAAATTAATTTAATGCCCCTTTCTAATTGTATTTATCTATCTATTCTTATTTAATACCTCTTATGCTGAGATAATGCAATATTGTGATCGCGTTGCTCATCTTCTGTCATTAATGTATTTTTAATATATGTATATATTTTGTATGCTTTAGCTGTTTCGATTTTAACATAAGTCAATTTTTTTTATTTATTTAAGTACTTTTGATATTTTTTCTTTTCTGGAGGTTTTGCTTTTTCTTTCTATACATGTAATTCTTTTTTTTTTTTCTTTTTGTTATTTTTTCCACTAAAATACTAAGTATACATGAGAAGATTTCATTTTAGTTTTTAGTAAATGCATACTGTTATTTAAGTTGTTATATATATTGTTTGAATCTTTATTAAGTTAGTTTTTGGCCAGATGTGTATTTTTTCTTTTGTAACTGTTCATTATTGTTATTCTAAGGGGACATCGTCCCAGAATAAAGTTTATTTTCTATTTCTATTCTATTCTATATATTAATTTGTTTTAAATAAATAAATATTTAATAAATATAGGTGCTGTAATCATTTGATAAAGTTGTTAATTGGTATGGTAGGTGACTACCTATCAATTGCCTGGAATCAGTCAGTAAGTGTTTCGACTGTTATAGGTACTTTGCACTTTGTACAGATTATAATAAGAATCTAATTGTTCGATCGAACAAAAATTGATGGGTAAACAGTACGTGTCCGCTTCAGAGTCTCGTCAGTAAGACTCCTATTTTCAATCGATGTTTTTCATGGGATTATTGTATGTTTAATCTCTATTAATTTGTTTTCTGTCGTGTTGATCCAGTATGATTGCCATTGGTCCATTAACTATTATGGTTGGGTTTATGTTATCATGAGGGTTGTCAAAACAGACAGGTTGTGGGATCAAATACGCAGTTTTTGCCATTTCCTCAGCTTTACTATTGTATGATATAACAAATTAAAATAGTAGCATAAATTAAAATATCTCAATAATATAAAGACTTATTATACTGATTATAGACTAATTAAAATTATTTTAATAAGAATAATAAAGCAAATCAAGCATATTACCAGATCGCTAGCAGTATCCTCAGCTGCTGTGAAGTGGATAAAAAGACCAAGATGCACGTCTATAAGTGTACCTCCCTATTCTCAACTACAATGGAGAAAACTGGACTATGTTGGACAAACATTACAGTCGAATAACAGCAGCGGAAATGCGGTTTCTATGTTAATCGGTGGGAAAAACTAGGAGGGATCGCATTAGAAATGAAACTATAAGAGAACAAGTGTCCTGAACTCAAATCCACTTTGGAGAACAGGCAACTAAATTGGTTTGGACATGTCTGCCGCATGAACGTGAAAATGGAGTCTATAAAGGTATTAGAGATTTGACCCACAGGGTTGAGACCACGAAGGTCTCAGAGTTTCATATCAAGAGTTCATGCAGAGGATCGGAGGTAGAAGAGGCAAATCATTCAACTAAATGAAGTGATTAAGCAGACACCAGGAAGGATGGCTGCGCTGGATAGAGGCTCCTCGACGCTAGAGATGGCATTGTGAGGAAGACAAAGAAGAAGAAGTAGAAGAAGTATTAAGAATATTTCTTCAAAATCGCTGATAAGATATATCATTACTTTTTGACTCTGTGTATCCAGCGCGGAAGTAGCTTCATCCAGAAGTAATATCTTGGGATTCCTGAGGACAGCTCTAGCAATCGCAATCCTTTGCCTTTGCTCACTCGATAAGTTTGAACCTCTTTCGCCAACAAGAGTATCATAAGCCTTAAAAAAAAAAAAATAGACAAATCTCTTGTATAATAAACATGATTTATTATTAACAAAATACAACTTTTACATTTTATCCACAATCTAACAATTACAATATTATTTTACCTCTTAAATGTATAATTAAAAAATAAATTTAATTAAAAGTTAGCTTTCAGTCTGTTTGAAATGAAATGAAAAAATAACTTGATTCTGGGACTACGGTCCCCAAAGAATAATAACAGAGTTATATAATTAAGAGCATTAGTCTGGCTTAGATGAATACAAAATGATACCTAATTAACTGTTGATTATTTTTGCAATTGTGCAGTTGATTGAATTAGACTTTGTACAGACGCAAATGAATTTTACATGTTGGCGGAAGTTTGAATATGGAGTAGGTGGTGGAACAAAAGTTGTTTGGAGGAATTTGTGGACAAGGATTAATGTATGGAGGTAGTTAGAGAGTTTCAAAAGGAGGCAGCACGCATGACGAAGAATTTTCTGAAGGAAGTAGTTTTATGAGAGGGAACATATAAATCTATAGGTTGAGAGAGTTGATAGAGGAACGTAAAGTAAGGATTTCCAGGATGTAGGGAGTGTTTTTGATTCTGAGGACTTGGAAAAGGAATTGGTCTGTTTATGTTAATGTTTCAATTATCTGGCACATATCTCTTTATTTTTTATTTAATTTTTTTCTGTTGGTATTACAGACACGGTCAGGAGTGACCATCTCCCTCCCAAGGTCACTGGCGCATGAAAGTCTCCCCTCTTTCACTCTGAAGATATTTGATTACTGTGCTCTTCTTAAAAATAGTGCAAGAAAGTAGAATTTAAAATTTTTTAGATTATATGCAATCACGCATCCTGTAGTCTGTTCCATGCTTTCTGTCCCTTTGTCTTCTGGTTTCAAACTTTTCATTCTGAAAATTCATAACCCTGTCGATATGTGCCGACACTTGCTTTTCGTAGATTTCAGAAACCAGCTTTGTAGTTCTGTGAAGTACAATATTTACCATACTTTTTCTTTATGTTCATTCGAATCTCACATTCCAAACAGACACACTCATAAAATTTAAAGATAGTGAATTAAAATTAACAAACCTGGGGAAAATTCATTATACAGTCGTGAATATTTGCTAGTTTTGCAGCTTCAATAACTTTATCCATTGTAACCTCTTCTTCTAAACCATACAGGATGTTTTCTTTTATTGTCATATCGAATAAAACTGGCTTCTGAGAAACAAAACCCATTTGGCTTCGCAAATATCTTACGTTTATGTCATAGATGTCATATCCATCAATCATCTGGAAAAAGAAAATAATCTGTTTAAATATTTACTTCTATACTCGAAAATATAGATAATACCTTAATATGTCTCTTATTTTTAGATTTCTCAAGTCATTTATTGTTTACTATAAGACTTCTTTTTAAGATAAAAAAACATAAGATTGTTTTCGATTGAATGAAAGGAAGTTAATTTTTTTTTTATTTTTTAATGGTTGTGAAGTCATCAAGAACTTACATCTCCAGAGGATGGTGAAAATTAATACTCAAGTATGTTACCACAAGTATTTCAGGAAATGTTTGTTTTTTTTGGGATGGTAACTATGTACTCCTCTGGCTTATAGCTATGCAGTGTCTCACACATACTCTTGTAATGTTACTCTGAAATCTGGAGAGCTAGTTTCAAAGTGAACCTACAAGCGAGATCTTGGTATTTTTATTCATCCTCAATTATGTTACCATATTTTAACGTTCTTTTTAAATTTCTATTGGATTATTATTTTCAATAATGAACCATTGTAATCGTTAAAAAAAAATTCAAAAACTTAACATCCTCAAATTATAAAAAGTTTTATTGAAGATGTGGATTAAAATATCTTAGAAACAAAAAATCGGACTTGCATACTATGAGCGAGAGAAATGTTCATCATTTCACCCTCTTTTTTATGAGCTATGGATTCCTCCACTTCGTTATCCCTGGTCTTTCTCGTCTTCTTCTTTCCTTAGGTTTTCCACAAATGGACTTCTTTGGGTAGTCTTCTTTCAGGCATTCTTTTCAAATGTCCATACCACTTCAGGCGTTTTTTTTATCAAACTCTTCCAGAATGGTTCTTTTAGCCTCCACCTGCTGGGTTGCAGACACCCAATAATTAGTCTAAAAGCAAGATGTTGCTCTGGATGTTATATACCTTAATTTATTATAACTTGGATTAGAACCTGACGATGGAGCACATTAGATTTAAGCCATGTATCCAAAAAATCATTGGGATTGTGGTTCTGAAGATGGGAGTAAATATCCCGAAATGTTAACTTGTAAACATGCAATTTGAAAATACAACAAATAAATTCAATTGTTAATTGGAAGTCATCATTGCCAAATAACAAAGAATAACATACAACTTCCCAGAAAAAAGAAAAAAAAAGTAAATAAAAAATAAAGATCAAACTCACAATTTTCCCTTCATTTAGATGATAGAACCTCTCTAGTAGCGAGATGATGGTCGATTTGCCACACCCTGAGTCACCTAATAGAGCTACCGTTTTTCCTGCTTCGATCTTAAGATTCAGCTTTTTGAAAACCTGGACATCTTCTTTAGTTGGATAAGAAAACACCACATCTTTGAAAATAATGCTTCCATTGATTTCCTGAAATCCATGTATATTATTTTTTTAATACTCATTCCTAATAGCCTATAAATAATTAATATTTGATTATTCTTACTGGTTTAACACCATATTGTTTCAATACAAAGTCACATGTTTTAGAATATGCGATTCTGTAGAATTTAGTTATAGCCTGTCTCGCTGCAGGATACTGTTTAATCGAAATTAATGCAGGACCAGCCAGTGCAGAAGCTAAGTTCAAGGCACTTACTACACTACACAAAACACACACACAAAAAAAATAGATACAATATATCTGTAGTAGCTATGAAGGAACTACTTTACAAGTGTTACTCCATTTTGATGGCTGGGTCAAGATATCGTGATCTCACTATAATGGAATTTCCAGAATGAACAAATAATGACTACTCATGCCTCTGTTTAATTAGATTAAGATTTATGACATGCAAAATCTCTACTGGTATATTTAAATTAAAATAGGGTTATTCACAGGTATTGCCATTGTATCCTACATTGAAGGTACCACTTTGTCAAATGGATTCGTTGGTTCTTTTTTTTTTAGCTTTTCTGACTTATAATTCTTATAATACGGTTTATTAACTATTTTATGATATATTTTGCCAAAACAATTGAAATGACAATAACAACATAATTAGGGTAAATGCACCAGTATCAGACGTGCTTAAGAAAATTTCTTTGAACTTTTACGTGTAAAAACTTAAATATTGATGTTATTATATTTTTCATGGATTCATCTTATAGAACTATTTTTGACCTTATCATGACAAATTTCAAATCCATGAAACATTCATCTAAATTAAAAAAAACAACTGAAAATTAAGAGAATAGTTTTGTTGTACCAGTATTGCAATTCAAGGGTAAGAGAAGATATAGGATCAAATTGTTCTTTTTTTTTCTTACTAGGAGTTTCTTCAAATAGTGGGTTTCCTTAACCTAAAGTGCTTGGATGGCTTCTTTCCATAATGTCCTATCTAAGGTCCATTCTTCCCGTAGACCATGACCCATCATGGATTCCTCCACTTCGTTATCCCAGGTCTTCCTCGTCTTCTTCTTTCCCTAGTTTTCCATAAGTGGACTTCTTTGGGTAGTCTTCCTTCAGGCATTCTTTTCAAATGTCCATACCACTTCAGGCGTTTTTTCTCAATCTCTTCCAGAATGGTTCTTTTAGCCTCCATCTTTTCTCTGATGGTCGTATTTCTCACTTTATCCATTCTGGATATTTCCGACACTCGTCTCCAGTAGTCCATTTTTGTGGCTAGAAGTTTCATCCTGAGGTTGCTTATTAAGGTCCAAGTTTCTGACTCGTATGTCATAATGCTCAGTACTATGCTATTGTAGATATTCTTTTGGTTTTGAGAATAATGCTCCGGTTCCATAATACCGAATTGAGCATTGATATGGTCTTTTTGCTATCTGAAATTTTTCTTTTTATTTCCATATCACATGCACCATCTATTTCAATTATGGAACCAAGATATTTAAAATGGTTAATTCTTTTTAGAAACCCTTCTGGATTCAGTTCTATATCCTCATTATTGAATGTCACGTGTTCCGTTTCTCTGCATTAATAACTAGTCTCCACTGGTATTCCTCATTTAATTTTCTTGCAATGATGACCTGGTCATCTGCGAAGGATAGGTTATAAAGGAACACCTTTTCTTTCAACTGAATCCCCATGGGTTCGCATTTTATTTTCCATGCTTTCAAACAAATGTCAAGATAAATCTTAAACAGAGAAGGAGAGGCACAACACCACTGGAGCAATCCTTTGCTGGTTGGGAAAGGCTGAGAAAGATATGGTCCAATTTTGACCTCGCAGGTGTCTCCTTTGTACATTTTCTTTATTATATCTACCAGATCTATATTAATGTTTGCATTTTGGAGGGCTAGTCATAATAGTCTTCGAGGGACACTGTCATATGCTTTCTCCAGCTCTATAAATATTAGTTCAATGTTTCTGGAAACGGCTTGATGTTTCTCAAACAATTGCCTCAGGGTGAATGTATGGTCAATGCATGATCTTCCCGCTGTAAATCCACACTGGTCTTCTGAACCCTTAAACCGATGCTCTAATTCGTTTCTTATAAGTTTATATTTTAGCAACCCTAGTAATCCTAATATTTTAGCAAAAGGGTTAGGAACAGAGATTCCTCTGTAGTTTTTGCATTGCAAAAAAATAAATTGTTCTAGTATGTTTTAATCTGCGTTTTATGATTTTTAGTATCTTTCTCTTCCTCTATTATATTTTTTATAATTTTTTCCTCGATTACCTCATTTTCATTTGGAAAAAGTGTTGGTCATCATCTGAGTTATTGAATTCAGAATGGTAATCGTTGTCAGTCTCTAAAATATCTTCTTCACCTACCTCTAATAAAATTTTTTAAACATCCTCCAGATTATCTTTATCTCTCAATAACTATCTGTTGTCCACAATTAAAATTTGTTATTTATTTATCTGCAACAAAGATAACAGGTACAATGGCAAATACAATTTATTTAATCACAGAACATATTGGTAGTTTTTATTTAATCTCTTCTACATACAGCTTTTCTACATTTATAAATAGAACGAAACGGTAAGTAGGCAAAGAAGGTAGTGCTTATTTTTTACCTTTTACATGCCATTGCTCCAGAAGTGGAACATATATTAAACAATTTTTTGGCCAACTTAATCATTATTTTTTTTTGCAAAAACAATTTTTTTTCATCAAAACAAAGGTTTAAATATATATTTCCAATAAAGATTTTATTGAATGAAGATTGTAAATCGTATATAAGCATATCAATTTTTTTTTATATTCCGTATTCTTACATATGCATTTTCTATCATTTTAGAATTAATTATAATAGAACTTACAATTACAATTAATTAAATTATAACATGATAATAATTTTGTATCAATATTGTTAAAAACAGCACTATTCTTGTATTGAATATTCTAATAAAACTATTAAGAAAAAAGTTCTTTGTTTTTTTTTGTATAACCTCAACCTGCCATTGTTCCACTTCTAGAACAAGTAGGAAAAGCACAACAGAATTTTTTTTTTAAAGATTTTTTAGGGACTATCTAAACTGAACCATATTGAGACCAATATTACAGAAAAAAAATAAATAAAATGTCTACTGGAATTAGGGGGCGCCGTGTAAAAGGTTAAGACAAATAAATGAATTACTTTAAACAATAGAGTTTGTGGCTACAACAAAGAAGAATTGACACGAAAAGGTATCAATTTAGGTGATGTTACCTCAACTAAATAATAAAAACAATCAGACTTACCTATTGTGACAGCTTTCCTCTGCCAAGGATCATTTGTGAAACAAATAAAAATAGCACTGACGAGAGGAGGAAGTGTCTGAAGAAAGGAATACCAGATAACTAATAGGATCATACCGAAACTTCATCGTTTTAACAAACAGTATCTTTGCTGTGTTAACCAGCTTTAATTATACCACTACTTTCGACTTCAGCTCCCTAAAAATGGTATACAAATCCCCAACTCTTTTCAGTTAAATGCAAGATTAGAATTTGGTTAGTTCTGTCTACTTTCAGATATGATCAACCATTCTCGGAATACCATTTATATTGTGATCATGTGATCTTGGCCCACTTGACCCAACCAAACTTATTGTATTATATCATATTTATTGTTACCCAATAAGTGATGTTCCTCGGACATCACCATTTGAAATATCGTTAGCACCATACATGAATGTTGTCCCCATTGACAGCCGGATCAGAGTCTTGGACACAGCGTAAACGACTGCATACCATACTATACTTACGAAAGCATCCCTAAATAAAATTAATACATCTTAGCATTAACAATATTACAATGTTACATAAAAAAATAATTTAAAAAAAATCTGCTTTACCTCTTAGAAACAGAAAGCATATCCCGATATTGGTTTATTATATACTTTTGACAGTTGAGTATTTTGATTGTTCTGACATTTTGAGCATATTCAATCGCTACCTAAATAAAAGATTCTTTTCTTTAATATCATAATTAGTGGTTCACTATCTTACATCAAAAAATATTGAAATAACTTTTCATTTTTTACCTTGGCTGACCTGATCGCAAGGGAAGCAGACCTGGTATCAGCATCTCTAGACTTCATTCTCAAACAGTTGATGATTAAGAAGATTATGATGATTGGTAAATTTACCAGTGTCACTTTTGTACTGATGAACAACGAATATACAAAAGAGAATAGTAACGAAAGTATAAATATTGCAACTTGCGATGCCCTTTCTCCTGTCACCTGTAGTACAATAACTTTGATATTACTTCAAACACTCATCATTCTTAATTCATAAAAATTATTCATTATATCTTTAATTATTATAGAATTTATTAAACATTTAAATATGATATTATTTGGTCTGATTATCCAAGAAAATGTCAAAATATAAATAAAAACAACAACAAAGTTTTGAACCTTGACATAATTCTTCCATCTACTATTCTGTACAACATACTAACCATCCTCAGTAGTCAGACTGAACATCAATTAAATTATTTACATAGCTAATTTTTTTAGAAACCAAAAATATAATTATCTCTGTTTTTGGCAATAATAACTTCCAATTAAACAACAATTGATTTATTTGTTGTATTTCCAAGTTTACATGTTAACATTTCGGGATATTTACTCCCATCTTCAGAACTATAATCCCAATGTTTCTTTGTTGATTCATGGCTTAAGTCTAATGTGCTCCATTGTCTGGTTCTAAATTCATGTTATAATAAATTAAAGTATATAATACATAAGTAAATAACCAGAGCATCATCATGCCTTCAGACCAAATATTGGGTGTCTACTTGGGGGTTTGCTAAGCCTTATTATTATTAAAATAGTAAATTAGATCTCTGTCATCATTGTTGCATAAATTATACTACTAAATACAAATATTTATAAACTAGTACACAATATTTGTAAACCATACAAAATATTTACAAACATAGAATGAATAAGGCTTTATTACCTAGCTGACAAGTTTTAAAAATATAATATTTTTTAGAGACACCCAATAATTGGTCTGAAGGCATGATGATGCTCTGGTTATTATATATTTTAATTTATCATGGGTGATAAATATTCAGGACGCAGTCTTTTTTAAATTTTTTTTTATTTTTGCCAACGTTTCAACTCAAACATGTGGGTCATCTTCAGGGCTGAAATGTTTTTTTTAAAATTACAATCAGAGATATAATGGTATACGACCGCTAATTATAAATAATAAACTATAGTGATTGATGGCACATGAATCTTAACTAATATTGTAATACACATATTAAAATAGTTATACAAACTAAAAATAAAAAATAATGTATATAATCCATTTATATAAATTTAATATTTAATAATATTTTCTCTTACTAACCGTGGTTTGAGCACTGAGGTTGTTCATGTACTGACACATGTTTGGTAGGTAAGTAAAAAGGTCAGGGGGGAGGGAGGATTTCCCACTTGGCCTTTTTTTTTTAAATAACAAAAGGTAAGTAAACAAGGTTAGAGAATTTGTAGAATATTCTACAAACAACATATGTTACCCTCCCTTCCCCTCTAACCTTGTTTACTTACCTTTTGCTATTTAAAAAGAAAAAAAGGACAACTGGGAAATCCTCCCTCCCCCCTGACCTTTTTACTTACCTACCAAACATGTGTCAGAACTTGAACAACCTCAGTGCTCAAACCACGGTTAGTAAGAGAAAATATTATTAAATATTAAATTTATATAAATGGATTATATACATTATTTTTTATTTTTAGTTTGTATAACTATTTTAATATGTGTATTACAATATTAGTTAAGATTCATATGGCATCAATCACTATAGTTTATTATTTATAATTAGCGGTCGTATACTATTGTATCTCTGATTGTAATTTTAAAAAAAACATTTTTAACCCTGAAGATGACCCACATGTTTGGGTTGAAACATTGGCAAAAATAAAAAAAATTTTAAAAAAGACTGCGTCCTGAATATTTATCACCCATGATATGTAGAACAGTCGACTAACTTCCTTCAAGAATACTTTAATTTATTATAACATGAATTTAGAACCTGACAATAGAGCACATTAGACTTAAACCATGAATCAACAAAGAAATATAGGGATTGTAGTTCTAAAGATAGGAGTAAATATCCCGAAACGTTAACATGTAAACTTGGAAATACAACAAATAAATTAATTGTTGTTTAATTGGAAGTTATCATTTCCAAAAACAGAGAATAACATACAACTTCCCAGTAAAAAGAAAAAACAAGATATAATTATCATTATTTTATAGTGTTACTTACTGATTCGATGAGCGGTGGACTGTTTGTTAATACCTCCAGGCATTCATTAGGAGAATTACCACTTTTGTCAAACCAACAAATTTCCATGGAAACTATTTTATTAAAAACTTTTTTCTGCAGTTTTTCCAACCATAGTTGAGTTGCAATTGTTGACATCATACCCTCAAAAGAAAATAAAATAAATAAATATAAGTGAAGAAAGCATTGTTTATGTTAAAACATTACAACCAGTAGTTAACCCTAGAATGATACCCCAATGTTATATTTGTGAATTAGTGTTATTTTTAATTCAGACCGTAATGCATAGAAACTATTTTTTTAGTTACGGCAACTACCAAAAAAATTTATTCTTCTCCTGAAGAAATCCATAAATTTTATGGTTAGAAGATGAAGAAAAGATGCATGGAGTATATTAAATAAACATGGCACAGCAATTTTTTATCAAATGTGTCATGTGTGTTAACACCAAGAAAAAAAAGGAGGCTGTCTTTCCGATTTTTCTTTGGAATGTTGAACCATGCTGGTGTAAAGAGCATGATATTGTTCAGCTTAGTTAACTGGGGAAAGAAGATGAAATGGAGAAATTATTTATTTGGATTAGGCTATTCCTTAATTCAGCCCTGTTCGAAAAAAATACTGCAAGTGGAGACACTCACATAAACAGTGTATAATAACATAAATGAAATTTTGGGAATTAGAAAACAAACAACAACTATTGGAAAAACAAGACAAATATTTGTTTGCACAAGAGAGACAAAGATGTTTGTCAGCAATGTAAAAGACCTATCTGCAATGAACAAAGGGCGACAGTTTGGAAAATAACATATAAAATGTTTCCTTATTACAATAAAAAATCAAAACTTCCACCCAAAAATAAATTAATTCTGTATATATCAGCAAAAAGAACAATCTTAATATATGCCTGCCCCATATGGAGCTTCACTAATACAACTAACTTGAAAAATATACAAATTAAAAAAAAAATGCCTAAGAATTATCAACAATTATCCTTATTATACCAAAATAACTAAGATGCACTCCGAATTAAAATGCTCTACATACAAGAATATATTTACAATACAACCTTAACAACACTAATCAAATCCATTAATAGCTGAAATAGGAAATGATACAAAAACAACAACATTCAAATATAAATATATGAGAACAAAACATATTCTGCTCTAAAATAAAATAAAAATTTTATTTTAAATAGTATTTTTTTTTTCGATGGTGTTAATTTTTTACTAATAAATTTTATATATTTTATTTATAATATTTTTTTTTTTTCTGTTGGCATTACAGACCATGTAAATCTATTGCCGCGTTAACAAGCCTGCTCCATCTTTGCCTGTCTTGGGCTATTTCTTTCTATTTATCTGTAGATCATTGCATTTTTTTTTATTCTAACTATCCATCTGCTTTTTGGCCTTCCACGTGGTCTTATACCTTCTATTGAAGCATTCATTGTTGCGTAGAGGCTTCCAGACGGATTGCCTCGCTACATGTCCAGCCCATCTTAACCTCCGTGCCTTCATATCATGGAATATTTACTGACCAGATTCTGCAAGCAATTTTTCATTGGTCTTTCTTTTCCATTTGTTAGTACTTTGGTAAATGGTTTAATTTGTGATTTTTCGGGACTTCAATACCTTTGAAAGGGAGAAGAAAGCTTGTTTGCGCTAGTTACATGCTTGTCTATTTCTGCCCGTTGGTCATTCATTGAGGTTATTGAGGAGCCGAGATATTTGAATTTTTCTAGCTTGGAAATGATTTTCCTTCTATGCAGATTCTATTATTGGGGTGGAATTTCATGGAATGGAGTGGAAAATCATATATTTTGTATTGTCTCCATTTACTTCTAGGTCGATCTGCTCTGCCTCCCTTATCAGTCTTAGCGAGTTTCTCAATGTCCTCTTAATTATTTCCAAGGACAGCTATATCATCTGAGTATACAAGGATTTTGTAATGGATATATATATATATATACATGAAATATAAAATAATAAATTATCCATAAAAAAATAATTAATTTCATTCAAAACCCATGCCTAACTAATTTTTCATGCTTTATGGACCAGTTTCCTTTGGTTAAATATTGCCCAAATGTGACTTATTGCAATACTTACAGACAAAACCACGGAGAAAAATGCAACCACGCCCATTACGATCAGAATACTAACATCAACAATGGTTATTGGAATTGCATGTTTTTCCTGGTGGATGTAAGACTGCAAAAAAAAAAAGAAAATAATTAGAATTTATATTAAGAAATTTTACAAAATTTTCAAATCATTATAAAATTATTACTAGTTTTGTTTCACTTCTCCAAGATGTCAACTGGTTTCAAGATCCCTCAAGAGCCAACCTTTTCTCTTAGTTATTCTAGATTACCCTTTATTTACTTAAGCCAAAGCCTAGAACTCCCATAATTTTTATTTCCCAAATATAAATTTATATATTAAAGGAATATATCAATATTTTAATTAATTAATTGAGTTATCTAGTTACGACATCCACTTATTTGTTTGCACTAGCAGATCCAGGATTTAATTTTGGGAGGCTTCAGCCCGAAGGATTTTTTTTCATATATCTAATGATAATTAATTTCGAAAAAAAAAAACAGAAAGAAACTAACAACCCATATGACGTGGTTTCTTAGTGATTCTTCAAGTCCTATTAAATGTAATTACACGAACAATAAGTTTAAGAGATAGTTTTAAATATTTTTTTCTGTAAAATATGATTATATTTTACCATTTTGAAAGCCTCCTCCCCCCTGTAGATCCGCCTATGTTTGTTTGTACTATGTTAGGTGTAATTTTAAAACATCCGTATGGCTAATTTCTTTCACATTTCATTGACACCGGTTTTAAAAATAAGAGATTAATTCCTGGTCATGGTAAGGGACGATACCATTATCCATGAGTAGAGAAGAGGGCACTTCTAACCTAACTTAAACAAACCGTATAAATCGAGGCAGCTCTGTGGATGTAAACAGGATTGTCAATACTGGACTACTTTCAGCATTCGTCGGGAATCAGTGAATTGCTTGGTCCGAGTGATCTAGTCTACATCGTGGAGTAGTGAAACGGAACCAGTACCAATAAAATTAATGTAGATCGAGACTCAGGTATCAATGTAGAGAGATAATTACATGGCAAAAGAGACTGAAGAAAGAATAAAAGGAGGGAAGAAACGCTGATGTAACAGCAGCAAACAAAATGGCTAGCAAACAGACAGCCATCACACGGAGATTTTTTGTTCTCAGTCTTAAGTCTTTTTCAATCTCTGGCACCTAGAAAAAGCAAAATTTAGCCAACATCCAATATTGATAAAGTAACGAGTTTAAACAAAAATATATTACCTCCGAATTTGCCCGACTCTTGCCAATATCAAATGGCTCAATAAATTCCTCTTTACTGGCACTTCCTTGACTGTAACAAAATGTATATTTCAATAGAAAAAAGGACTAATTTTCAAATATTGCTCCACTTTGATTGGTGGACTGAAGATCCCATGATCAAATTATAAATGGATTTCTGATAATGGCTTTCATTTACAGTGTGATCATCAGATCTTGTGCCACCCATCAAAGTGGGAACAACACTTGTAAAGTTATATTATAAAAAATAATATATGAACTCACAAAAGGTAATTATTAATTGAGACTGTAGCTCCAATAAGGGTTTATTAGCCGATGTACTCTTTGTGTGGAAAAGATTTTAATAGTCTCAATATAATCTCAAGAAAATTCATAGTAAAATCTTGTTACGATTACAAAAAGCTGCAAATTATTATATAATGGTTTATTATTTCCAACTATTTATAAATGTAACTCTACTTTCCTTGTCGCTTAGATAAAAATAAATAAAAGGTGAATGTTTTATGTTAATAATGGCCTGAATAATTTTTTTTTTCATCAGTAGTAATTTGCTAAGAAATATAGAAAATAATTTGTGCTTCAGTTGATATAAGAATTTCAAAAAACCAAAAAAAAGGATATCACCTGATAAGTTAAGATAGCTTGATAAAATAAATATGAGTTCGCGTTATAGTATTGGGAAGCTTTTAACTTTGTCATTACTTAAATTCCTACCACCTACATACTTCCTCATTATCCGTTCCTACTTTACTGATAGATACTTTAAAGTAAATCACAAAAACACCTATTCATTCCTTTTTTCCCAGTCCGCTGGTGTTCCTAAAGGTAGTATCCTAGGTCCTATCCTCTATACAGTTTATACAGCTGACATCCCTACCTATCCCAACACTGTCATCACCACATATGCCGATGACACGTGTATCCTATCAGTAAATAATGACCCATCAATTGCATCCCAAATACTTCAATCACACATCATAAATCTTGAAGAATGGTGTCAAAACTGGAGAATTAAAATAAACTCCAATAAATCCCACCAAATTACCTTTACCCTTCGTCGTAAACCAACGACTTTCTGTCCTACAGTTTCCTTTAACAATACTCCACTTATCCCTGTTGAGCAAATCCGATACCTAGGACTCCACCTGGACAAACGACTAACTTGGAATCCTCATACTAGACTGAAACGACAAGAAACCGCTCGACGTTTCCCATTACTTCAGCACTTTCTAGACAAACGCTCTAAACTTCCAATTAATTACAAAAGACTCATATACTTGACTATAATAAGGTCTATTTGGACTTACGGAGTTGAGCTATGGGGCTCCACTAAACCATCAAATTCCTCTCGTATCCAATCCTTACAATCCAAAATCCTTCGTAAAATCCTAAATACTCCCTACTTTGTTACAAATAAAACCATCCATAATGACCTTAATGTTTCTTATGTTTCAGATCTGGCCCAATCCAGATACCTATCCTTCCATAATAAACTTCAGAATCATCCCAACCCTCTCCTTTCTAACCTGGCTTCCTCTTCAATTCCTGATAACCCTCCGAGGTGTCTGAATAGAAGATGGCCCCATGATCTCCTAATGTAGACATATCATTAGAGTGCTACCATTGGGTAGTTACTCAGCAAGTGTTTTCATGTCATTATATCCATTATGTTCAAATTTACTAGATGTATTTATTTAATACAGTTGTAAATATCATTAAGAAATAATAAAAATAAAAAAAGTCATTACTTCATTGCAAGGCCAATAACAGATTATCCATAAAAAGTGCATTTATGAATTTATTTTAATTATATTAGAATAAAATGATACTCTTTGCTATAAATTTTGAGTATTAATTTAAGATCTGGAAGATGGCCTCGTGATCTCCTTATGCAGACATATTATTATAGTGCTACCAGTGAATAGTTTCTCAACTAGAGTTATCATGTGATTATATTCTTGTGTACACATTTACTTGATGTATTTATACTCTAATACAGTTGTAAATATCATAAATAAATATTAAAAAAAAATTAAGACTTATTGAAATTTCAAAGTGTTTTGTGCAGCTCAGGAATTTTCAGTGAGTATTGACAAACTTTGGCAGCTGTTAACCCAAAACTTACTTTTGAAATAAGTGCCTTTCTTGTAGCTACAGTGCCAATGACTTATTTATACAATGGAGGTTTTGTTACATCAAGGTTATAAAAGTTAGTCAATTAAATCAATCTTTACATTTTTTTTATTTCCTACTTTATGGTAACAGCTTTGTCCTTCTCCTCGAGTTCATGAGTCTGGACCATTGAGTAGTAATACCCTTTAAGCTCCATTAGTTGGCTGTGAGTGCCTTTTTCCACGACACACCCTTCCTAAATGATGAATATATACTGTAATGTACACCTTTATTGGAAGTGAGTAAAAAGGATTTAATAAATTAATGTTTAAAAATTAAAAGGCAAGCTAATCTAGTTCTACCAGTGCAGGGAAAAGAAAATGACTTCTCTGTAATTTCACAAGAAGGAAAATCCTAAAGAGGAGAGGGACAAAGGTTTTTGTTTTGGCGAGTAGTTGGTGTTTAGCTGGAGTGAAGAGAGGATAGGATAAGTGATCCTGGATCCCATCGGTAAAACCCAGTAATAGTATTACCATTTTGAAAATCGTGTTTGGCAGAACATTAGAAAGTATTTGAAGACAAATAAATTTAGTGCAACAAAGGAAGAAATAGTATATATAGAAAAAAGGTTAGCTTGCCAATCTTGACTTTATTTTAAAATCAGTGTTTAATTTTATTATAAATAGTGTAAATAATAATAGTTTGTCTGAGTTGATCAGATTGTCAGAAACCCACACCTGAGATAAATAAATATATTAATACTCTTATAATTTTGTTTATTACTAAACAACCTCTTATTTGTTTAGGAAGTTTTCCAATGGTAAGAAGTGAGGTGAGCTTCTTAGGTTATATTATTATTATTTGTCAAATATAAGAGGGATGTTACAATACTTATATTATACATAGATTATATACAGTGGCTCAAAGTAAAAATGATGCAGCCTGTTATTGATAGAAACTAATGAATAAATAAATAGTTAAATTTATATTAAATTGAAAACAATAATTTATTGCAATCAATAAAGATCATAATAATATGTTTTTCTTATTCTTATGTTATGTTATGTTTTTTTCTTATATTCTGCTTCTTGGTGTGGTGATGAATGGCGGCTTCTTGTGTAGATAATCTTCGCTTTATAATGGAAATATTGACATGTTATAGCGAAGAAACATGTTTACATTTACATTTTGAGAAGAAACTTGAAAGTTATTATGCAAAATCTGGGGCTAAATTTAGTTTTTATCAGGATAATGACCCAAGCTCTCTGCCATGTCTGTCTGTCTGTGCCAAGATTATCTCGGGAACTTGTGGACTGATTTTGTTGCTTCTTTTTAAAATATTTTTGCCTGTTTTTTGAAAGGTAAAGAAATTTCTTACAAAACTATATAATAACCGTTCATTTTGGAAAACTATTAACAAAGTTACAGCTATTCAATTTTTTCTCTGTTCACAGCTAGAAAGGGGTGAAAGAGAGAGAGAGAGAGAGAGAGAGAGAGAGAGAGAGAGAGAGAGAGAGAGAGAGAGAGAGAAAAAAAAGTAAGTGAACATAAAAAAAATCTGTTGCCCGCATCACACAAGTTTCTCTATTTCCTCTTTTTATAACAGAAATTATTTTCTGACAAAATTAGGCTATGGCAAAAAGTTTTTGATTAGCAATATTAGAGTGTATTGAATTTTTTATCTGATCTTCCACAAGCCGGTTCTTTTCTTTGATCAATTTTCAGGAAAATAAATCTAATTCTTAATTTTGTTTCTTAATGGACATATTTTGAGGTATAAAAACATTTTAATTTTATTGAGTTTGTACATATTTAAATTGAGATTATAAATAAAACTGTTAAAGAGTTTCTGGTTTTATTTGTTTACTCAGTAAACTTTACTGTAACCATGTATTTTTTTTATTTTTCTACAAGATGTATCAATTTCACTGTGAGGCACTGTATATTGATATATACTTATATTTTAACTTTAAGTTTGAAATTAAATATGTAAAGGGTTCACTTACTTTCATGGCATAAATAATATCTGCTTTCCTCACTGTAGTCATTTTGTGAGTGATTATAAGGGTTGTACGATTACACATGACATTATCAAGGGCATCTTGGACAATGCCTTCTGAATGAGAGTCTAAGGAAGAAGTCACTTCATCAAGAAGTAGCAGTTTTGGATTTCTGATGATAGCTCTTGCAAGGATGATCCTCTGTTGTTGACCTCTTGACAGTTTTGTACTTATTTCACCAATGATTGAACTGTAACTCTGTTAAATATATATATGTATATTAAAAAAAAACAGTTTAACTAATGACTACGCCAAATTTTTTTTGGCACATTGTACTTCAGAATCAGTTAAGTATTGATAGATTTACATTATGTGTATCATAAGTCTTATATTAAAAAATATATTCCACCTGAGTTGAATAGAATGGAATGGAAAACAAACTTTATTCTGGGACTAGGTCTCCTAAGAATAATAAATATATACAATTAAAAAAATATATTATTGGCCAAAAACAACAAGATTCAAACAATATACAGGATTTCCCATAACTAGAGGGAAATATTTAAATGGTTGATAGTAGACATAGAGATATACAAAGCAACAATTGCCCCAGTTCCAGTAAAAAAGTAGGAAATTTAAGATTTGTGTTTTTAAAGTGAATCATGTTTTTTGTTGAATAGGAAGTGATAACTTAAAAAATATTTAATTAAAATAAATAAATATTACTTCATAGTAAACTAGACAAAATATACTTTAAACGAAAGTAGAGTTTAAACGAAAGTTTGTCATTGTTAAGGCTATTTAAAGGAGTATTGAGCGAACAAACACAGCTAATTACCGATTAAAAAAAAAAGTCATAAATTCTTGTGATTTTTTGTGACCCTTCAACTGTACTACATTATCCCCATTTTTAGAAAATCCTCCTCGTTTAATAAGGTTTAAGTCCATATTAAGTATTTTCAGCACAAGTTACTATAATTAACTGTTGCCAAGCTTTTATTTCTTGTTTTTCCGTGATATGGGATGTATAGTAATAAACATAATTGCCAAACAGATTTCATTTTTGAAAAATTTAAAATAATGATATTAAAAATATTTTTCATGTAAATTGGTTATCTCTCGCCCATGAATCCAACATATTGGCCAACATCCCTTAAAAAACGTCCTGATATCCTAGATATATTTATCACTTCTCAGATTTCCTCTTCCCTGACCACAATAAAATCCCTGGATGACCTTTCATCAGATCATAGTCCAGTTCTGCTATTATTACATTCAAATCTCGTTCCTAAACCCTCACATCCGAAATTGATTACAGGACGAGTAGACTGGGACAAGTTTCGTCACGATTTGGAAAATAAACTGGACTTAAAAATTCCGCTTAAGACAAAACAAGACATTGACAAATCCATAGAAAAACTCACTACATCAATAGCTATTAGTATAAATGATAACACTTCCATCAATAAAAGCAATAACTCACGATATAGTAACTTGCCATTAAATATTCGAATCTTATTAAGAGAAAAACGCAGAGCAAGATCGAAATGGCATAGGACTAGATATCCTTCAGATAAAACTTACTATAGCGAATTGACTAACAAACTAAAAATAGAAATTAGAAAATTCAAAACACAAAAATTACTTAACCTAACTGATAATCTTACAACTACTGACAAATCTCTATGGACGACCACAAAAAAGATACTAAAGTTTAAAGACTTTAACCATCCACTATTAACTGAATCCCAAACCTGGTCCAAATCCGATGAAGAAAAATCTCAACTATTCGGTCAATACCTCTTCCAAACCTTTAATCCACATCCTGATATCCTTAATCCACATCAAATTGAATGTATTGAAGCAGAACTGGATATTTCACTCCAAATGACTCTTCCACCTAAAGCATTTCATCCTTCGGAAATATCTAATATCATCAACAAATTACCTTCCCGAAAAGCTCCTGGACACGACCTTATCACTTCCCAGATCCTAAAACTTCTTCCTCGGAAAGCCATCCTATTCCTCACTTACATATACAATGCTGTGCTCCGATCCACATATTTCCCTGATTCTTGGAAAATATCTATTGTCAAAATGTTACACAAACCTAAAAAACCACCCGAACACCCATCCTCTTACCGTCCTATTTCTCTGTTACATATCATGGGCAAAATCCTGGAAAAACTCATCCTATAACGCCTGTATCCCATCCTAGACTCTAATCATATTATCCCTGATCACCAATTTGGATTCCGCACATCGCATTCCACTATCCAACAATGTCACCGTGTGGTTGATGTAGTCTCCTCTGCATTGGAGCGCGGTATGTACTGCACGGGAGTCTTTCTCGACGTTGAACAGGCGTTTGATCGAGTCTGGTACCCGGGTCTTCTGTACAAACTCCGAAAAGTCCTACCCCCTACATACTTCCTCATTATCCGCTCCTATCTTACTGATAGATACTTCAAAGTAAACCAAAATAATGTCTTCTCATCCCTCTTTGCTCAATCTGCAGGCATCCCACAAGGTAGTATCCTCGGTCCCATCCTCTACACAGTTTATACAGCTGACATCCCAATCCATCCTGACACTGTCATCACCACTTACGCCGATGACACATGTTTGCTATCTGTTAATAACGATCCTTTAATTGCATCCCAAACTCTTCAATCACATATCACAAGTCTTGAAGAATGGTGTAAAAATTGGAGAATAAAAATAAATTCCAACAAATCCCATCAAATCACCTTTACCCTCCGTCGTAAACCTATGACGTCTTGTCCTACAGTAACTTTCAATAATACTCCACTTATTCCTGTTGAGCAAATCCGCTACTTAGGACTCCATTTGGATACACGTCTTACTTGGAATCCTCATACTAGACTTAAACGACAAGAAACTGCTCGACGTTTCGGACTGCTCCAACACTTACTAGACAAACGCTCCAAACTTTCCATTAATTACAAAAGACTTATCTACATAACTATAATAAGACCTATATGGACAAACGGAGTTGAGCTTTGGGGCTCCACCAAACCATCGAATTCCTATCGTATCCAATCCTTCCAATCCAAAATCCTCCGTAAAATCCTCAATGCTCCATACTTTGTCACAAATAAAACCATTCATAAAGACCTTAATGTACCATATGTCGCTGATTTAGCTCGAGCCAGATATCTATCCTTTCATGATAAACTTCAGTCCCATCCAAATCCGCTTGTTTCCACTCTTGCTTCTTTCTCGATTCCTGATAATCCTCCTAGGCGTCTGAAAAGGAGATGGCCTCGTGATCTTCTTACTTAAAATTATTTAGAGAGTGCTACCACTGGGTAGTAACTCTTCAAGCCTGTACATGCCATTATTTATATTTGCGCATATTTACTTGTTGTATTTGTATACAGTTGTAAATTCCATTAAATAAACAAAAAAAAAATTGGTTACAGAACTGTGTTTTTCTCCCAAATCTCCGTCATAGGAATTGATATGTAATTATCAATGACAAATTTAATGTTTCTTTCTAAAATGTACGTTTAAAATAAAGAAACCAACCGATTGCTTCAATTATATTAATGAAAATGTAATATCAGTGCTGAAAACATTGAGTTTGTCATTTATAAATATGCATCATTTCCTATGACAGAAACCTGAGAGAATAACACAATTTCTTAACCACCTTACATAAAAAATATTTCAATAGTTATGATTTTTAAATTTTTATAAATAAAATATATTTTTAGGCAATGTTTATTACAATATATCCCACATCACGGAAAAACAAGAAATAAAAGCTTTGCAACAGTTAATTGTAGTAATTTTTTCTGAAAATACGGTTACTTTTAGAGGACTGGATGGAAAATCACATAATTTCTTTACACACTTGAAGTGAAGAAATTATGATTCCTAATAAACCTCAACTTAATTAATATGGACTTGAACCTTATTAAATGAGGAAGTTTTTCTAAAAGTGAGGATAATGTAGTGTAGTAGACATCCCCCTCTATTTACTCCTTTATGTGACATTGTGTGAGGGTATGAGAAGGAATATATAACATATAGGAATGTGAGGTTGCACGATGAATTGTACTCAATTATGCAGTGGACAAATTATTCATGGAAAAGTCTCATATCGATAAACAATCGATGAAGAAGGACGCTGGAAAAAGGTCAGAGCAGGTAGCTAGGAACAGCTAGCTGCAGAAGGATGCCGAGAAGAGGAGAGAGGGCACTTGAGGCCTGGACACGAAGACGAGAGGACATTAACTGAGATGAGAGAGGCAGGACATTGAAGACCAAGAATATCAAGCATACAGTTATAAGACTTTAATATATTCATTTATTATCAGTTGTTAAAATAAAATGTTTTGTTAGACAGGAGTGAATAGTCCTTTTATTTAGTTGTCCTATAGGCAGGCCTCACAAATGAAGAATAATAAACAAGGTGAGTCAATTCATTCAAAGTGTATTTACTCAGTCCCACATTTCATATATATATTCTTATTGTTTCTTGTCACGCAGTGTCACAAAAGGTATTAGATTCCCGAATTCCCAACGACAGTTAAACACCCTCAAAAAGTCTATATCCAGTGCCGGGGTTTTGTTTTAATATTCAGGAGTGTAAATAACCTTCAGCCCCGATATAAAAGCGGAAGGCTATTCGCTATTCCCGCCAAAACCTCTTATTTACATTTAACTTTCAGTAGGTTATTTACAGTAGTACAGTTGAAGGGTGATAAAAAAAATCACAAAAATGTATGACTGTTTTTTAAACAGTACATAACTGTGTTTGTCCACTCAATACTCCTTTAACTAATGACAAACTCTACTTTCTTTTAAATCAAATTTTGTCTAGTTTACTTCGGAGTAATATTTAATTACTTAAATTAAATATTTTTTAAGTTATCGCTTCCTATTCAACAAAAAATGTAACTCGCTTTAAAAAACACAAATCTTAAATTTCCTAATTGGGCAATTGTTTATATCTAATTTTTTTTAGATCTCGATATCTACTTTTTTTGTAGATCTCGATGTCTACTATCAACCTTTTAAATATTTCCCTCTACTTACAGGACACTCTGTATACATTACGAACTCCGAGAAGACGAAAGCCATCCTGGTCGGAACTCCCTCACTCCTCAAATTCTTACCGACACTCCCCAATCTATTCCTGAATAACTCACCTATCTCATTCCATATTTCAATAAAAAACGGTAAGGTGGACTCTCAGGAGAATTCGAGGCCAAACTTAAACACCCGATGAACTGCGCAATACATTTTGTTTTCAGAATTTCAAGAGACATGCATATAACCCAGTATTACACCAAGTTGAAGGGGCTCTATCCATCCAACCGCAGTCTGTACTTCCTTGCTACCTTTCTATACCAAGCCATCAGAACTCAGCGGCCTTCCTATATTTTTCACAGCCTACAATTTAAATATTTCACTCAATCCCGTCCCACTAGATCCCATACTTCTGCCCTCTATTCACCTCCTCACCGAACTGCTGTGTTTGACAAATCCTTTATAATTCAAGCTGTTTCCATCTGGAATACCATCCTTTCCGATATCCGACATGCATAATCAATTTCCTCATTTAAATCTCTCCTTTTTGAGCACATAATTCTTTCCCTACCCGATTAATCATGAAAAGTAGATAAGAGAACTTTTTAACTTCCCCAGAAATGATTTTGTTAAATTATGTTATTTTATTTTCACATGTTTGTATTGTATATATCTGTATTTAGTGTTTTTGTTTTATTTTTCTTCCAATATTTTAATTTTAATGAGAATTGTAAATATTTAATTTACAAGGCATTTCCTCTGTATCTATAATTTGTCCTAAAGGGACGAAAGTCCCTGGATAATAAAAATCTATTTTCATTTCATTAAAATTTCACCTACAATAAAAAACAAAAAAAAATCTAGAAAATACAAATAATTAATTGAGATTTGTGTTAAACTTACGAATGGTAATTTCTCTATGAATCGATGAGCATAGGAAATTTTTGCTGCTTCGATGATCTCTTCCAAAGTCGCAGTAGTTTTACCATATCTGATGTTCTCTTCGACAGAAACATCGAAGAGTAAGGGTTCCGGCCCCACAACACTAATTTGACTTCTTAGCCAATTGACATTGAATTTCCTTATGTCCACTCCACCAATAAGAATCTAAATAAAAAATATTTATTTTGATGATATACTAAAAATATTCTTACTCACCACATTGTAATAATTTTTAACATTTTTACCTGTCCAGCAGTAACATCATAAAGGCATGTAATAAGGTCTATAATAGAACTTTTCCCTGCGCCACTAGTCCCCACGATCGCTGTAATCTTACCAGGTTCGATGTCCAAAGTCAGATCATGGAGAACCTATATTTTGAAATTTAAGTATATAGATTTGGTTTAATTTAATAAAATAAATTTAGAATCAAATAATGTTTAAAGCAAATACATAATTAAAGCATTTACCTTTGTATCTAAGCTTGTAGGGTATGAGAATTGAACATTTCTGAAGGAGACACTATTCTCGAAAATGTTTGATGCGATACATTGCCTTAGAGTTTTGTTATAGTTAGTCTCCGCATCAAGAAACTTCATTACTTTGTAAGCTGAACATGTCGCTCTGATGAGTTCAGACACAGTACTGAACAAGTAGGTACAGTGATATATAGCATTGATTTGCGTTGATAAAATCTATAAAAAAATATTAAGAAATAGTATCAGTCCGCATAAATATTTATTTATTCATTTTTAAAAATCCTATTTATTGTTTTATTTAAAACATTTCAATATGGCACAGCCATTGGAAAGATTAGCTAACAGAGGTACTAGGTAGTTATTTAATTGAACCTTAAAATTTAGCTCTTTACAAAGAAAATTCTGTAATGAGTTTAGTTCAAGAATGGTGTGGTGAGTGCATCACACAACTTTCACTTACCACCCTCTTCTTAGCAGAAATAACTATTTTCAGACAAAGGAGAAGTGAAAGTAAAAATTATAAAAGCTATATTGATTTATATTTCATTGTGGATATTTTTATTTGTTTAAGTACCCTTATAAATACAAATTTTAATATTTATATCACTATAATCTATAAAATTAAATATTGAATAATATCAACGAAAACAACTAAGAAAACCGTATATGTACATAATATTGTCGGAGTCCTTATTATATTAAGCTCATATCACTATGGAAGCCTGTTCTAATCTTGGTTCCTTCATTGCAACTATTCTATGTTATTATCTCTTATTTTTAAAAAAATTAATTATCAAATTCTTTCATAGACCAATGTGAAATGGTTAATTATTTCAAATAAAAAAAATTAAAGATACTTTAGAGGAAGCCAATATTGAAAATTAGCCATTTAAGCCCTGTTAGAGAACATGAATGAGAATAAAACCTACATAACATTAAAAACTGCTTAATTTTACACTGATAAAATGAATTTAATCAAAATCGTTGGAGCCGTTTTCGAGAAAATTGTAAAAATGTGTTTCATTGATGATCTTAAGTGCCAATTCCAGTTAGTTGATCTTGATAAAAAAATTGCTATAACATCTCCGGTGTATACGAATCTTAAATATGCAATTTCACTTTCGAACGACTTTTTGTTTTTGAGCTAGACCAGTCACGTACATACACATTGACACACGCACAGAGAGACTTGATTATTGGGACTCAGATGTATTTCCGTTGAAAACTCAGTTTCAAAAATTTTCACGATCGCAATACTTTTCTTACTATATATTTCATACTAGTTTTACCCATCCACGCGCTGCTGTGGCTCAGTCTGACAAAACGGAAAAGAAAGAAAACAGAAAGCACATATGAGGGAATTAATACCAAAGGACATCTGTCATTTTAAAAAGTTGAGAAACAAATTTTTCTGCAACATAGCTTCAATTGAAACTAATTCTAATGATTTTTTTTCATTATTCAACTTTTAACTAATCATATATTTTTGTCTGTATTCATAAGATTATGTTACTTGATATGTGAGCGTTCTAATTTTAGAATTTTGGCATTCGAATATCTTTTTTTTTTCTGTAAATTTCAGAGTTAGTGTTGTATCGGTTACACCTTATTTGAAAGATGTTAGACATGATTTAGTAGATTACTGTAACAGTTAAAAAACAAGCTAATCTAGTTTTACTAGTTCAGGAAAAAGAAAATAACTACTCTAGTTCCCCAGAAAGGAAAATCCCAACGAGGAGAGGGGACAGACAAAGGATTTGGTTTTGGTGAGCAATTGGTGTTTGGCTGCAGTGAAGAGAGGATGGGAGAAGTAATCCTGGCTCCAGTGGGTAAAACCCAGTAATAGTATTACCATCTTGGAAGTTGTTGTTTGGCAGAGAGACTAGTTGTTTGGAATTACAAGAGAGAAGATCTCCCAGGGAGCTTGAGTTAAGTAGATGAAAGTATCACCATTTTGCAAGGTGTTTGAAGACAAATGAATTCAGTGCCACAAAGGAGAAACAGAAAAGAATTTGTATATATATATATATATATATATATATATATATATATATATATATATATATATATATATATATATACATAAATGTGTGATTAAAGTATTATTAAATGTTTTGACCAAAAAAGGATTGATGAGTATGCTACGTATCGAGCAACTCTATATAGTAGGGCAGCACTGCTTTAAATAAACTATTTCTCTCTCTATGCATCATTATGAATAAAAACTATCACTAGAATAAAAAATATGAATCCTTCATGACAAAAATGGGTAAAACAGATGTTAAAAGAAAATAATTATAAGATTACTTACGATTGCCATATAACCAGGATTAAAATGGCCAACTAAATACAACCTCACTGAGAAGTAATAGGTGATCATATAGCAGGTACACAATTGGAAATAGTTAAAAGCTTTTGCCATAGATATTATTAAAGCATGTTTTAATCCATGTTTATCAGCCGCTTTGTATGCTTTCTTGTACCTAAATAACAATTTGAATTTGAATCATACAAGTTATTTGAATCATGAAGTTTATAGGAATTTATTTATTTATTGAATAATATAAGAATCTGCTAGATGGACATTGGTTACACGTAGATAAGATAACATTCACACAATATGTACAAAAAATAAATAAAATAAACAAAAGGAAAATAAGTAAATAATAATAAAAAGTATACACAATAAATAAAATAAAATAACTTAATAAATTATTAAAAAAACACATACATACCTCATGAAGTTATTATTATATTTTGTTATTTGATAGACATTATTACAGGAAACTATTGCTAACTTATGAATTTTACTTGACACTTCTAAAATAAAATTTACAAATTTTATGGTTTAAATTGATATTTAATCGATTCAATTTAAATGATTGACAATAATCTAGTGCATTAAAAAAACTATGAATGGTACCTCCTACTCTACTTAGATAAAAGACTTACCTGGAACATACATAATAAATTAAAAAGACAAGAACTTACTAGACAATATAGCCAACTCTCACATCTTCTGGACTACAGATCCTCACTTTTTTTTTTTTTTTTTTTTAGCTTTAATGTTTTATTCACACCTGTCATAATGCTAATGACAACCAGTGAATGTGAGATCGATTGATTAATAGAATTGTCATGAAAGGCATGAGGAGGATCAGTGCCCAGCGGCACCTCACTCGGCGTGATATCTACATGATCCTCACTTCACTTACCAAACAAGCTACTGATCTACAACACAATACTGAGACTAATTTGGACATACCGAGCAGAACTTTGGAGTTCGCCAAAAGAAATACACTTAAATAAAATACAAATAACACAATAAAAATTCAACAAAAAATTGTCAACGCACCTTGGTACATTTCAAATAATACTATACATAACGACTTAAATATCCCAACAGTAAAATCCTACATCTATGACAGATCTACAACAAATAAAATTCATTTCATTCTTCAAATCTAAATCACATCAATCGATTAGTCCTTTCTATTTCCTGTTCCCTGATCCATGCATACTGAAAAAAGAAGGACCAAGGGACCTACTCCTACATTAATACCAAGACAAAACTAATCAAGCATATTCGCAGCTAAAGCCTAATACATCAGATTTGCTAGGTTCTAGATTGACAAATGGCATTAAAATTGATATTTGATTAAATACCTTTCTATTTCTTTATATTTGCCACCATATGCAGCTACCAATCGAGAATTTTCTATTACTTCAGAGGCAATTTTGATACATTTTCCACTATAATTTTCCTGCAATTTTTCTCTTTTTTTCGATGCCTGAAAACATTATTTAATAAAAATAACTTCATAATAAAAATTGAATATAAAAAATTCATATAAAAATAAAACTTTATTCTTTTAATTAGTAGTGGAACTATGTTGATATGTAATACACCATTATCTTGGTGCCACCAAGTTGATGGTAAGTGATGAGTTAACAGTTATAATGAAACAGTGAAATTATGATGACCATTACAAGGAAACTTGTAAACATGTTATAATGTGTTCCAATAATAGGTTATTCTAGTAACCTGTTAATTCGATATGTTCCACACTGTTTATTATCCTATACATTATTTCAAAAAGGTGTTTTTTGTTGGTATGCCATAACTTCGTCAATTCTTCATCAAATACAATGATTGACCACTCATTTTGAAGATATTCTTCTCCTTCACATGTGAAAAATAGTCCTATCCCCTCCCCCACCTGAAATTTCCGGGAAAAAAAGTTATGAAGGAAAATAAACTTTATTTGCGAATAACTCAAAAAGTATGAATTTTTTTCTTGATTGTAACCATGGTAATTAGAAAGATTACTAAATTACCTACAAAACAAAAAAAATCGTACAAATATTAACAAAGATATAGTCCATTAGTTTTGGTATACTTAATAATGTCTTCCTGTTTAAAGATATTGCATTTAGGAGTAGAATAGTCAACTACAGTTTTTTTTTCTTGGCTGATATATCAACTTTATTATTTCTTAAAGACATTTGGTTGTTCTTAATTTTTTTTTTTTTTTTTTATTAATTTAGAAAATCCCATTCGGCGTTATTTTATCTTTATTACTTTATTATCATTCCAGTCAGCATTTAACAATACGTCCTAGCAAATCAATTTCTACAAATTTTTTTTGAATATTGTAATCGACCAAGGAAAAAATATTAATTCCTTCCTTACATAATACATAGCAAAAATTCCATAATGTTTAGCTATTTCTTCACTAAACAAAATTTTCTGTGAATTATTCACACTAGGCCAACTAGTTGTCTTTATTAATAATACTATAAAGTATTTAAATTGAAAAGGGGACATCCTGTTAAATGAATAAATCCAAAAATAAAATATTTAACATTCTCATTTACATGCATAAGTATGGTTTAAAATTAATATATTCTTTGACATCAGTAATAAAAATTTGTTGTACAAAATGCTATGGACAAGTTAATGTGGAAAAATAGTTTTTCTTTGCTATTTTTCACATTTTCTGAAGACACAGAAGGAGTGGAAGATCAAAAGCCTGGATTTTTTTTTTTTTTTTACGAGTTAGTAAATGTTATTTAGAAATCAAAATGATTCCAATATTTAAACCCAAACTCCTCATTACCCAACTAAGCGAAGCAACACGAGGATTATGCATTTAGGTTGTCTGGTAAAAGTTATGTAAAGATGTTTTGAGCGAACGTCTGGATAAATATTTAAGTTTGATGGCTCAAATTAATGAGTGAGATCTTCTGAATGTTTTGAAACAATTTGAGATAATACTACTGAGCCGTGATTAAATGATTGATGGCTCACGAATAAATAACATATTTTTAATCAGTTTTCTAAAATGTATGTAGTGGTTTTTTTTCTACTGGCTAAACTTCATAGGATTTCAAGTTTTAATTTAAATTAGCCCAGTAAAATATTATTGAAGTTTCATAAACATAAGGCCTTGTATATAAGGGATACCAAGGTCGCCATGAATTGTTTTGATGGAGATATAATATTAAGTGTTGACTCTGATATTATAAATTACAAACATGTATTATACTTACTTTCATTATAAAGTATGTCACTGTCATAGAAATCAACATCAATATCAGTGTCATCAGCGCTACTTCCCAAGACACAACGAACCCAGCCACGCAGCCGAAAAAGAAAAATGATATCATCTCTGCTGCAGATGTCATCGTACTGTCAAATAAGACTATCATCTTCTGCAAATCACTGAAATAAATTCAGAATATACATACATTTTATTTATAACTTAACTTGTATGACGGTACATTCTAATTATTTTTTATACTGTTAGGGCGCCACATTCATTTAGTCCTATAATATTCCGTGATAAAAAAAAAAAAACCTTTTTATCAAGTTTCAGTTGAGTCTTGATAATTCTAAATTCAAGGGACTACAAGGAAAATTCGAATTATTAAGAAGTTTAAATTATAAAGAGGTAAGAAAAACAATTCGAATTATCAAGAGTTTTTATTATATTTTTTGAAAATATGCATACATTATATATATGAATTTATAGTCTCATTTAAAAAATATTACTTGGAATTTCGAGATATTACTTGGATGCCAGTAAGTAGTGGGAATGGAAGGTGACATAATATTAATATAGAAACTTACTGTGAGACATTACAAACCAGCTCTTCTTGGTATCTGTCATAAGAGCTCATTTCTAAAGACATCATCTTTCTTATGAAGTTAGACTTTATCTTCAACATTATATTACGCGAAGCTATTTCTGATGCCATTATCTGAAAAATTGAATTGTTTTAACTTTATTTGCATTAAAAGTAATATTATTATATTTAATCTAGATTGACAGTTATATCTTACTATACAAAAGAAATATGTATGGCAAGATACCATGTGAGAGGCCATAAAGCAGATGGGTAAATCGAATAAACAAAGAAGCAATAGAATTGCGTGGAGTTAACTGTTAAGGAATGTCTCAAGATCAGCAGAGATGAAAAATGCTAGCTAAGGCAGCAAAAAATCTACAAAATGTGTAATGCCAACAGAAAAAAAAAAATCTATTTCTTCTAATTCTTCTTGGAACTTCCCTGAAACGGTCAGGTCCGGAATTAAACACCATAGAGCTTCATCACCAAGTTAATTGGGTTTGCCAAATTTGCTTCCTGATGTCCTCCAGCTCAGGACATATCTGAAGAACATGCCCTCCATTTTGGTCTCCTGTTCTACCACTACAGAGAGGGTTTTCTCCAATTTTAAATTTATCATAAAGGTGTGACCTGTTTAGAGTCTAAAAATCATAACTTGCTCTTTCCTGCTAGTTTTATGATAGTCTCAATAAATACTAATTTAATGTGGATGGGCTTCATTCCACCTTCGTCGTACATCCTTTACGAGAAGGCTTCCTGAAGATCATGAGTGGACTTGAGAGGATCCAGCTCCTCGGGGATATCCAGAAGGGGGTTCCATGGCGAAAGTTTTTAAGGGGAGCATATTTTAATCATTTTTTTGAATTTTTGATAGAAGCAAATTTCGACGGCGTTATGGATTTTTGGACTAAGGGACAAAGGGGAAAACATGGAACATACCGCAGCAACTGTAATTATATATGATCTACGATTACTTTAATTTAAGCTTAGCTTGATCTGTTTTTAAGAAAAGGTAAGCAATAAAATATCTGGGAAGGAGGGAGGGGAGTAGGTTCTTGCGCCATTGACCTTTGGGGGAGGGGATGGGCATCCCTGGAGCTTCTTCCTTTGCTGGTTGGTATAGACCACCAAATTCATGCTTATTTTAGTGTGGATAAGTCGATCGATATATAATAACTTATAAATTCATTTAGATCAGACTCAGAAAACAGCAACATAAAAATATAATACAATTTCATAATTTTTTTTTCTCGGCTCCGAGGAAGCATTGGCAAGAGTCCTCAGACATTGGTCTAATATTTTTCGACCTGGAAATCTGTGACCCCACGTCCGTGACCGCCCCTTGTTAGTAAAATGTGCGTTTTACATTATGTTAGGTTAAATCCATGAATCAAATCTAAAAAATAAATGATTATAGCGCCTTCGATCAGCCTCTACTGGTCCTTAATACCAGTAATGCGACTGAGTGAGAGGCGTTGGGATCTTTAGAGTCCTGCCTTTCCTTCCACGAGTGGGGAGAAAGGTTTGGCTCGGAGATGTTGAGTGTATGATTTTTTTTTTAAAGATGTATAGAAGCATGTGTAATTTGTATTTACTTTTAGTATTATTATTTTCCTGTATTATTTATTTTATCTGTGATTTTTTTTTTCGATTCCTAAGGCGCATTGGCAAGAGTTCTCAGACATTGGTCTAATATTTTTCGACCTAGTATCACCAAAAAGTTCATTGAAATCTGTAACCCCACGTTCGTAACCTCCCCTTGTTAGTGAAATGTGCGTTTTACATTATGTTAGATTAAAAATCCATGAATCAAATCTAAAAATTAAATGATTATGTTGCCTTTGATCGATTAGCCTCTGCTGCGACTGAGTGAGAGGTGCTGGGATCTTCTGGAGTTCTGCCTATCCTTTCACGAGTGTGGAGAAAGTCTTGGCTTGAAGTTCTTGAGTGGATGGTTTTTTTTTTAGATTTGTTTAGAAGCATGTGTGTATGTGGGTAGTTATTTTGATTAGTTTAGTTTATTTGCATTTACTTTCAGTATTATTATTTTTCTGTATTATTTATTTTATCTGTAATTTTTATTCTGTTTCTAAGGCGTATTGGCAAGAACCATCGGACATGGATCTAATTTTTTTCGACCTAGTATCACCAAAAAGGTTTCATTGACCCCACGTACGTAACCTCCACTTGTAAGACGTTCTATCTTAGAAATTTATCTTCTAGGCAAATACTAATGCCATATTGAAATTCAGGACATACAGGAGACATCCAGTTACTCCGGCAACAAAACTACTATTTACCTATATTATCATTATTTTTAATTCAGAAAATAATAATTACTTAAGATTCCATCTGGACAAAGGTCTAACTTGGAATCCTCATACAAGACTGAAACGACAAGAAACAGCTCGACGTTTCCGACTACTTCAACACTTACTAGACAACCGATCTAAACTTCCAATTAATTACAAAAGACTCATTTACATGACTATGATAAGGCCTATTTGGACTTACGGAGTTGAGCTATGGGGCTCCACCAAACCTTCAAATTCCTCTCGTATCCAATTCTTACAATCCAAAATCCTTCGTAAAATCCTCAATGCTCCTTACTTTGTTACAAATAAAATCATCCATAATGACCTTAATGTTCCTTATGTATCAGATTTGGCCCAATCCAGATATCTGTCCTTCCATAATAAACTTCATAACCATCCCAACCCTCTCGTTTCTAACCTTGCTTCCTATTCAATTCCTGATAACCCTCCGAGGCGTCTGAAAAGAAGATGGCCTCGTGATCTCCTAATATAGACATTATTAGAGTGCTACCAATGGGTAATTTCTCAATATGTGTTTCATGTCATTATATCCATTTGCGAATTTACTAGGTGTATTTTTTGTATACAGTTGTAAATATCATATAAATAAATAAAATAAAAAAAATAAAAAATAAAATGTGATGATCTTACCTGAGTGAAGCTGAATACAATGTTCATCCCCCCGAACATGAAATACCTGTAGCCAAACTCTGCAAACTCAACTGTCACATTTATGTGAATCGGCTGAAATTTTAACAAATATCCAAATAATTATTAATATAAAGGTTTCCAATTAACAAAGATAACCAACTGAAGAACAATCTTCTTACTTACACTTCCGGGCTTCGAGTCGATGAAGCTAGTCAAAAGAGGTGTCATGAGGATGAAGACATTGATGGGGCCTAAAAGTCCAGTCCCAACGGCAGCGAGGGTACCTATTATGAGAATGGTCGTATCCTTACTGTTGGCGTATTTTAACTGCAAGAAAGAAAACTTGTTGGGTAAATTGTAGGCAAGTACATAACATGGTTAAGGAAGTACCTTTGAACTTCTTAGCGTAAGCATCGATATTATTTAGAATATTTAATAGCTGACCGTTGCATTATAAAGGAAGGAGATGGATGGTCCGGGGTTGCGGTCATAAATAGGCTAAATAGTGGTAAAACTATTTTATTAAAAGTCAACGTTTCATATCTTCAAATTGTAGATACTGTAATTTCCTATGTTTTTCCCAATTACCCAAACATGTTAGCTTCCCCAATACCTGCCCTTACCCTGGTTTTCCAGTTCTAAGTGAAACTCCTAGCTGAACACACCTGTAAGTCTCTAATTTTATTCTTCCATTTTATTTACTTATTTATTTAATTTTTGGTTTTCTTGTTTCTTTTCTTTCTCAACATTCTTTTAAGTCTATTATTTCATATTATATTCTTTTTCAATCTCTCCTGTAGATTTGTAGAAGTATATTCACATTTTCATTTATTATATATTACACTACAGCAATTGTTAGCATCTATTTACTTCAGTTTAGGATCTTGTTACTTAGCTTACTTTGTTCATATTTTAATGTACTTACTGTTTATAATTTTAATAAGCTTATTCACATTGTTTATAAATTTTGTCTAAATATTATGTAACTGCCACAATTATCTATCTTTTTGTATCTTGTCCGTTCTAGCCCTGAAGAAGACCTGCAAAGTCGGGTCGAAACGTTGGCTTTCAATAAAATAGTTTTACCACTATTTAGCCTATTTATGACCACAACCCCCATCTCCTTCCTTCATCGATATTATTTATTTGGATTCATCTTATTGAACTACTATAGGATGGTCCAAAATTAAGGCAAGATTTAAATTGAATATAAAACACTGTTATTTCTTCTTTTGATTTATTATTTTCAATAATCAATCATTGTGATCGACCGAAAAATTTAAAAACTTAACCCTCTCTCAAAATTTGAGGTTTCACGTTTCAGGATGCGTAGAATTCGAAAAACGAGTAAATTTTTTTTTGTCCGTCCGCCGTCCGCGCATTTTCTCTGAAACTACTGGACCGATTTTTTTTCAAATTTGGATATAAAATCAGAGGTCACCCGAGGATGATCCTCCTTCATCGACATTACTATCCGCCTTTTACTTTCAAAATGGCGGCCGAAAAACCTGTTTTACTATAGACTGTAGCTAAACGAATGTACCAATTTAAATGAAATTTCGCCAAAGTCATTTTTCCCAAGCCCTTTAACTTTATCTGTATAACATACTTCAACGAAAAGAAGCTGGAAAAAAAGTTACGAGGGATGACAAAATTAAATTCAGAATAACTCAAAAAGTTTACACTTTTTTGTCGATATTGTAATAAGATGTTTCAAAGGTATTTAAATTTCCTAAAAAATGAAGGAAGTTTCATCGAAATCAAAGTTTTAAAAGTTTACGGAATTTCTAAAAAACAAAAAAAAATCGTTAAGATATGGTCTTCAGTTCTTTTTCATATGTTCTACTCCAAATGTTATAAACTTTGTTTGGTTTTTAAATTTTGAATGTGTTAGTAAAGTAATGCTATTTTTTTTTAGCATATTACCAATGATAAAAAAATAAAAGTTTAGTCCAACAATGGAATCACCTTTTATTTATTTTTCTTTGTATCTAGGAAGGTAATGTTAATTTAGATGCATAATTTTTTATAAATAATAAACCATTGTGAAATAATTTGCAGCGTTTTCTTTGTTGATTTAACAGCTGATAGTTTAGGGTTAGTAAAAATTAAGTGAACAACGTGTTTTTATTTTTGAACAAAATTTTAAAAACCATGAAAGTTGTTGTTTAGGACTTGTAAAACCCGCATGTTATCAACGCCTATTTAATCTTTACTTATATTATTTTCAATTATACCAAAATTATTTTGGGAAAAAAAATAAATAACGGAAGTTTTTATTATGTGTGAAAATTTAATGTAATTATTTTGAAACGAACAAATATAATATCGAATATTTAAAATTAATATGTTTATAAGGAATTTTATTTATTTTAACTTTCATTTACCTATAAATGTAATGTATAGTAAGTGAAAGTATTGCGATCGGGAAAATTTTTGAATCAAAAAGTTTTCAACGGAAATACACGTTTTGAGATCCCCTGAGTCTAAATAACCAAGTCCCGCAAAATGGGCTGTGTGTGTGTGTATGTGATCAGTCTAGCTCAAAAACAAAAATTTGTACGAAACTTAGGAAGTGACACTTTTAATGAACGGTTATACACATTTTTAAAATTTCCTCAAAAACGGCTCAAACGATTTTGATTAAACTCGGTGTGACATTGTATAATTAAGTAGTCTTATCCTCATTCATGGGATCATTTATTTTAAATAATTAACTATATCTTAAGAGTTTCGAAGAAATGCTAAACATAACTTTTGAAAGAATTCGATAGTTGAAAAATGGAGAAAAAAGAGAAAATATTTATTTAGGTCGAAAATGATTACTAATCAGAAGGTATGCGTGTAATATATCGTTGGAAAGTGGAGAATTTTAGAAAAAATCAATATCTAATATAGAAAGTAATGGAGAGTGACTTAAAATTATAAATAATAATTTGTGAAAACTAACATTATTTAACGTAAATCACATGTTTTCAAGAAAATTAAATTAAATTTACTAACTAAATATAAATTTTTAATTTAAGTTTGAAAAGAAAGTATTTAAAATCCACTTAATCAAGGCAATATTATTGTTTAAAAACTATTGCATTACTTATGTGAAATAAGAAGTGAAATATAAAAATATCTCATGGATGTTTAAAAAAATTGTTTATAACCTTAAATACATTTACTGTAGTTTAATAATTCTAGATCTGATATTATATTTAAATGTATCAACGTCCGTTTATTCCGAAAACATCTAACCTATTAGAAAAACAAATTAGTGAATAATTTGATGAACTTTTTTAAATCCAAACATTATCCACTTAAAATTAATGTGACAACTTTTGACCTATCTATGGCAGGCAATGAAAAGCTCATAATTTCATTCTAGTAAACTTTACAATGCAAAATAACAGTTTAATAACCAATAGGCGTACAATCCATAACCATTTATAGGTTAAAAAAAGAGATATACTTTGAAATCTCTCATGGTACATATATATAGCTCAGAGACTGGAGCTATGTGGTTTATAAAAACAAATGGAGTACTGAGCTTTTTATTGTCTACCATTAATATAATTAATAGTTTTTGTTACTGATTCGTTAGCTGTAAGCTTTAAGCTATAACTCCGTTAAAAGTGCACTTTAAAACTTTTATAATTGCTCAACATTGCCTAAAAATAATGTCTATTCAAAGTAGAGAGGTAAGTGAAAGTAATGTGTTACGCGCACCAGATATTTTTTAATATTGTTTAATATCTTTAATTATTCAGGTTATATATCGTGCGATAATCTGCTTATAAATATTTATTTTTCATTTATTATAATGAGTGGCTTTAGGTGTCAAGCACCATATTCATCTCCAATTAGCATTAAAATATAACAACAATTTTTTATAAAACATAATTAAACAATTTATACGCTAATTAATTTAATCATTATCACTCGATTTATAAACGTCCATAATTCAAATATTGTTTCGTCATCTTTATCTTTTCCTTAAGCAGTTTTTTATAATTAACATAAAATATGATAAAGTGTTATAGTTTGATGTAGCCTGTATTTTTATTCGTATTAAAATTTAAAAAAAAAAATAAAAATAATTTTACTGACATTCTGATCCAAAGATCTAAGAGAAAAAGCCAAACAAATTGAAATAAATTGAAAAACATTCCAAGAAGTATTTTAAGGAAACACATTTATATTAATAAAAATAAAAATAGTAATTAAATGATTTAAAAAGAATGAAATGTTTTCTAATTAAAAGAATAATTACTAATTGATGCATTAAAAAAAGGGCAAATTCCAAAACCTTAAATTCCCAAATACAACAAATATTAAATTTTCAGAACCCTATAACTCTGCCCCAAATCATCTGATTTCGATGTTTTTTTGTTTACGTTTTGTAGGGAATTTAGTTAGCTTTAAAATACTATGGGCCAAAAATTGCGTACTTTTCGAGCTATTTGCAAATTATGAATTTAATTACAACGTCTCGATTCATTGAAACCTCGCACTTTTACATTCACTTTTATTTAAGTCCTGGTATAAAATTAGGAATCAAAATTACGATTCGCGCACTCTACGTGATATTCCCGTTCTGTTGATACATCATACGTCCAAATTCATCACTCTCCAGAGCCGAAAAAGGGATATGTATGGTGTTTCATAATTGCACGGCACTATTTTAGGTATGTGTTCACTAACACAAAATAAACAAAAAAGTTCATATTAACATATATCTTAAACTCATTTATTAAACAGATATCAAAGGTTAAAGATTTATTATTTATTTACTACATTAAGATTGACTGTACAAAGTTTAACGTGTTTAATATTAAAAAATAGGTTCTAATTACCTGATAAACAAATTAACGATAAGCAATGACAGTAGTTGCTCATCTGTTTGTCTAGTTCTGTGTATTTTAGTGTGAGTGAATACTGTGACACAGTTCAATTTATGATTATCATGGGAGGCACCATAAATTTATTCACTTTTGCAGAACAAACAGACATGCTTTTAACATATGTCTGTTTGTTCTGCAAAAGTGAATAAATGTATGATATCTCCCATGATAATCATAAATTGAATTGTGCCACACTATTCACACTAAAACACACAGAACTAGACAAACAGATGAGCAACTACTGTCATTGCTTATCGTTCATTTGTTTATCAGGTGATTAAAACCTGTTATTTAGTATTAAACACGTTGAACTTTGTACAGCCAGTCTTAATGTAGTAAATAAATAATAAATCTTTAACCTTTGATATCTTTTTACATAAATAAGTTCAAGAGTTATGTAAATATGTACTTTTTTTTTATTATGTGTTAGTGAACACATACCTAAAATAGTGCAGTGCAATTACGAAACACCCTTTATATTTTAGAAATAATATATATTAGCTGACCTGTGCGAATAATCAGCACAAACTTAATATTTGTATATAATTTTAATACATTAAGGTAACAACTTCCATTCAATAATTTTTGATACGTAAAGGTTTATTACACATATTTTCTAAGTTGTCTGTTTATGAATAGGATTTATATTTTGCCATGGTCAACTATTGTGTTTCCTTAAAATTATGATTTAAATATTAGCTTTTTCCTTTATTAGATTATCATAAATTAACAAAAGCTTCTTAACATTGCTTTAAACATTTGATGACGACAAAAGCCTCAAACTCTCAGGGAGTTATATAGTTAGCCAATCAGGATGTAAGTTACTATATCCTTAAAAAAAAATCTAAAGTGTATTTTTAAAATGATAAAGATCTAATAGTAAATGCTATTGAAATCGAAGCACATTAAAAAAAAATTACGAACAATATTTAAAGGAAGGCACATTTGTATAAATAAAAATAATATTGTTATTAATTAAAAAGAAAATAATGTTTTGAAATTAAAAAAAATTACTAATTAGTATATAATATATTGTACCCCGGAAACAAAGGGCAAATTCTTAATTTGATAAATAACTATCCAGATGCAACACAATCTTTGCAGTGTAACAAATAATAAATGTTCAGAAAGATATAACTCTGCACAAAATCGCCCGATTTCGATGATTTTTCAAAAAGTTTTTTAGCGAATTTAGTAAGCTTTCTTTAGTAAAGTTATAATATTTTTATGTGATGTGATTTTATGAGATTTCGTGAAATTTTTTTTTATTTTTCGTTTACTATGAAAATTTGTATTTGTTACTTTTCTGAGATGTAAAATATATATCTCAACTTAGTTTCTCCTTAAAAAAATATTTGAACATATTTTGCTAGTAGGGTCAGTACAAATTGTTCCATTTCAACATTTTATCCATACTATAGAAATATGCCAAATATAAATTTGATGTAATAGAGCTCTCATGAGTAATATAAACCGGATATAACTGTAAAAAAGTAAGAATAAAGAAAATATGCTGTAGAAATATTTTATATAACATAATTTTTATCGATTTCAATATTTTTTTATTAGGTTTTGTAGGAAATTTAGTACGCTTTCAAATACTCATATAAATAATGTACCAAAAATTGCGTCCTTTCCGAGTCGTTCCGCAATTATAAATTCATTTGTAACGTCTCGATTCGTTGAGACGGAACTATCATATGGTTTGAAACCTCCCTTTTACATTCACTTTTATTCAAGTCCAGGTATAAAATTAGGAATCAAAATTACGATTCGCGCACTCTACGTGATATTCCCTTTCTATTGATACCTCATTCGTCAAAATCCATCACTCCTGAGAGCCGGAAAAGAGATATGTATTTGAGAAATAATATATAAGAAGGTAAGAGAGATTCTAATCTCGTCACCATAGCGACAAACCATTTCACTGTTTGGATTTTTTCTCTCCCGCTAACCATTAATCCACTAAATCATTTATAACTCTTCAGAATGTTCTCCAAATTCAATAATACTATATCCATTGAAAAGCTGAATTATAGCTCTTCAAAGCCGTATGAATGGGTTTTTTATTTAATGTTTATATAAGGAATAAATAGACAAAAACTCCTTATAGGTTTTTATTTTTTATCTCCATTTGTAGTTTGTTTGCGAAGGTCCTGTATATGTCATTTTGTGTAGTTTACTTAGCTTATGTAGCTTAAGACGTATTGAAGTTATAAGATATTTCTGATTTTCGAAAACTATTCAAATATGAAAATTCGTAGTTGGTGGCTTTCTGAGATGCGAAATACACATCTCAACTTGGTTTCTCCTTAAAAAAATAGATGAACCCACTTTGCTCAATGGGTCGCTACGAATTGTTACATTTTACTCATTCTATAGAAATATATTAAGCATAAATTTGATGTAATGGAGCTCTCATGAATAATATAAACCAAAATAAGTGTAAAAAAACAAAAAGGAAGAAAAAAAGAAAAGAAAATATGCAGTCAAAATATTTTATATAATACAACGGTTATCGATTTCAATAAATTTTTTTACATTTTGTAGGGAATTTAATAAGCTTTCAAATACTCATATGTATAATGGGCCAAAATTGCGTATTTTCAGAGTTATTCCCAAATTATGAATTCATTTGTAACGGCTCGATTCGTTGAGACTAGTGTTGCCCAAATACGAGTCTTGGTCTTGCACAAGAGTATCGAAACAGTCTTGCAGTTACTTATTAGCTTATTACTATAGAGAAATTACTGTATTTTTTTAGATAGGAGAAACCTAACTAAGCCGGAATGAAAAAATAGAGGAGTTAGATGCAAAAGTATATTGGTTATATCAATTATTAAGGTATAGTAAATAAGATTAGTTACAAGTATCAGTAAGTATTTTACCATAAGTTTTATTTAAAAATTGATTTTTTTTTACCAGTCCTGGTCTTGGTCTTACAACAGTTAAGTGACCTTGGTCTTGGTCGTGCAAAGTGAAAAACCAAGACCGATTTTGGGCAACACTAGTTGTGACGGCACCATCATATGGTTTGAAACCTCCCAGTTTTATATTGACTTTTATTTATGTCTAGGTATAAAATTAGGAATCAAAATTACGATTCGCTCAGGGCCACTTGCTGGACTAAGTCCCCCCACCAGTACCAGTACGATTCGCTCAATCTACGTGATATTCCCATTCTATTGATACCTCATTCGTCAAAATCCATCTCTCCTGAGAGTCGGGAAAGGGATATATATTTGAGAAATAATATATAAGATTGGGATTTCGATATCCCATCCCTAGTCCCACCCATCCCATACCATTGGAGACTATATCAAATTACCTTATCAAATGATCAACACCTTTTATATAGCAATTATAGTTACAAGTTCAAACATTTCTGAATTCATAAAGAGGAAATTCAACAAAATTCTTAATGATTTGAGATTATGAAATGTAAATTTATTACTTTTTGCCATGAACCAACGATATAATATAAATAGCTAGAAAATCTATACTCCTAGGAGTAGGGTTAAGATTAGAAACATATAGTGTGTACTTACGATTTTGAAAATTGTTTTTAATTTTCCAACGACTTCTTGTCTAAAAAACAATACAAAAAAAAAATTAGTATTTTTGTTAGTACAAAATATAGTAAAAATTAAAAAAAAAATTTACTTACTCTTTCTTTTCAGGGATCTCATAAATCTCTTCTTTTTTCTTTATCTGAAACACACAAAATAGAATTAAACGTAGTAGTTATAATTAAAAAAGTAATAATAATAAAAGGCTTAGTGAACCGGAAGGTTCGATGCCGACACCACCAATTGCTTATTACACACTTCCCTCCACCATTCGCCGTCCAAACCCAGTCCCTTCAGATCGGCTTTAATGCAATCTTACCACCTTCGCTTCGATCTACCCTTCGGACGTTTATCATCCGGTACAGCAAATATTAACCTTTTAGGAATTCTCTCGTTACTATGCCCAAAAATTTTACAAGCCCATTTGATTCGCCGCGATGAAATTACCTCAATTATATTACCTGGATACAGTTCACGTAATTCGGCGTTGTGTAACCGTCTGTACTCTCCAGTTAACTCATCCTTCTTCTGTCCGAATATTCTACGCAATACTTTCTTTTCAAAAACCTTAAGACGCTGCTCATCCCTTAATGTGAGCGGTCAAGTTTCGCATCCATAAAGAACTGTAGGCAAGATAATTGTTTTATAGATTCTAATTTTTAAGTAACGTGACAAGAGGCGCGAGCTAAGTAGTTTTGTCACAGAAAAATAACAAGCATTTCCCGCCTTCAGTCTAACCATAATCTCTTCTTCAATTTCGTTTTTTCTAGTTATAGTAGAACCTAGATACCTGAATTTCTCTACCTGTTCAAACATATTACCATCTATATCGATATCACACGTAATATTACCATTTTTGCAGCTAACCATATATTTTGTCTTATCCGTGTTTATTTCGAGCCCTAGTTCTTTACTAGCATTCATTAACGTTGTCGTATTTAGTTTTATAGTTTCCACGTCTTCGCTTAACAATACCAGATCATCAGTTTAGCACAGCACGGATGTTGTCCCACCCAGATCCAACCGTTTTTCGGTACGCATTACCTCTCTAATGGCATGTTCTAATGCCAAATTGAACAAAACAGGCGAAAGAGAATCGGCCTGCTTCAAACCCGAACGAACCTCAAACTTTTCGGACAGAAAATTATATATAATAGCTCACTTTAAAGAGGATGAAATGATGAACATTTCTCTCGCTTATAGTATGCAGTTCCGATTTTTAGTTTCTAAGCTATTTTAATCCATACCTTAAAACTAGTTATTATTCGGTTATAAACACTATATTTTCCTTGTTGATTCTCTAACACGGCGCACAGTGTTCGGAAAAGGCATAAAACAGCAAAAACCCTGAGAAACTTTCAATTTATGCAGGATATTTAAAAAAAAACTGAATTTATTATAGTACGTCAAACCTTCTGAATTAATAATGACTAAAACCATTTTGCTAAGACCGACTGTTATTATAATATTATTTTTTTAAAATAATAAATCCTATATATTATTTCTAAAAGGTGTTTTTTTTTTTTCGGTACGCCATAACTTCGTCAATTCTTCATAAAATCCAATGATTGACCACTCATTTTGAAGATATCTTCATCCTTCATGGAAAATAGTCCTATTCCCCGAAATTTCTGGAAAAGAATTTATGTAGGAAAAGAAACTTTATTTGCGAATAACTCAAAAAGTATGCATTTTTTTCTTGATTGTAACCATGATAATTAAAAAGATTACTAAATTACCTACAAAACCATAAAAATCGGACAATTATTAACAAAGATACAGTCCATTAGTTTTGGTATACTTAATTATGTCTTCCTGTTTAAAGATATTGCATTTAGGAGTAGAATAGTCTATTACATTTTTTTTTCTGGCTTTTGCATTAACTTTATTATTTCTTAAAGACATTTGGTTGTTCTTACATTTTATTTTTTTTATTAATTTAGAATATTCTATGATCGGGACATTATTTTGTCTCTATTACTTTTATTATCTTTCCAGTCAATGGTTAAAAATAGGTCTAGCAAAGCAATTTGTCCAAATATTTTGATCTATTATGTCTAATCGAATATTGTAATCGACCATGGAAAAAATATTAATTCCTTCCTTACATAATACATAGGAATTACGTATTTCCGTATTATTTTGCTACTTCTTAACTAAACAAAATTTTCTGCGATTTTTTCGCACTGACCAACTAATACAATATATTTGCATGTAATATTTTGTAAAAACGAAAACTTGTTGTATAATTTCATTGACAGAATCAATTATAAATGTCTATTACATATATTATTATCAAAAGAAAATAATGGTAAGAGAAGAAGAGCAAATCAACATACAACTAAATGAAGATAAAACCAAATACATGGGGTGGTGAGCTGAAAACAGTACCCCAGAATCAATTATGAGTCACGAAATTGTATGAATTTCTCTTCAATATTTTTCTTCGCATTTTCTTTCAGTTTTTTTCTTTGTTTACTATTCCTTCTGTTTTCTATGACAGAAAGGAATAAATTAAATTAGGTATAAATATAAATTTAGTTCAGTCCACTATTCAGCAATGCTATCGTGTGGTAGATGTAGTCTCCTCTGCATTGGAGCGCGGAATGTACTGCACAGGAGACTTTCTCGACGTTGAACAGGCGTTTGATAGAGTCTGGCATCCGGGACTGATGTACAAACTCCGTAAATTCCTACCACCTACATACTTCCTCATTATCCGTTCCTACCTTACTGATAGATACTTCAAAGTCAATCATAACAAAGCTTATTCATCTCTTTTTACTCAGTCTGCCGGTGTTCCTCAAGGTAGTATCCTAGGTCCTATCCTTTACACAGTATATACAGCTGACATCCCAACCCAATCCAACACTGTCATCACCACCTATACAGATGACACGTGTATCCTATCAGTTAATAACGATCCATCTATTGCATCCCGAACTCTTCAATCACACATCACAAGTCTTGAAAAATGGTGTCAAAACCGGAGGATTAAAATAAATTCCAATAAATCCCATCAAATTACCTTCACTATTCGTCGTAAACCTATGACTTCCTGTCCTACAGTATCCTTCAACGATAGCCCTGTTATCCCTGTCGAACAAATCCGATACTTAAGACTCCACCTTGACAAACGACTCACTTGGAACCCCCTTGCCAGACTGAAACGACTAGAAACCGCCCGACGTTTTCGACTACTGCAGCACTTACTAGACAAACGCTCTAAGCTTTCAATAAATTAAAACGACTCATATATATGACAATAATAAGACCTGTTTGGACTTACGGAATTGAGCTTTGGGGCTCCACTAAACCATCGAATTCCTCTCGTATCCAATCCTTACAATCCAAAATCCTTCGTAAAATCCTCAACGCTCCTTACTTTGTCACAAATAAAATCATCCATAAAGACCTTAATGTTCTATATATTTCCGATTTGGCCCAATCCAGATACCTATCCTTCCATAACAAACTGCAGAACCATCCGAATCCTCTCGTTTCAAACCTTGCTTCCTCCTCGAACTCTGATAACCCTCCGAGGTGTCTGAAAAGAAGATGGCCTCGGGATCTTCTAATATAGAACTTTAATTTGAAAATTAAAGTTCTGGATGGATTCTCCCTTTGACATTCTTCTGAATGGATTCTCCCCTTGACACTTAAGGAGAAAGCCCTGATGATGGCCTGAACTTCAGGTCGAAACGTCGGTATATGTAAAAAATAAATAATATAATTTTTTTTTGCCTTCCTATTTTGACTGAGCACACCAACTATTCTTCTCTTCATTCTTCATAACTTTAATTTGAGTTCTACCAATGGGTAGTTTCTCTTCATGCTGTACATGTCATGTTACCAATTTCACATTTACTTATTGTATTTTCTATGTAATACAGTTGTAAATTTCATTAAAATAATAATAAAAAAAAAATTAGTTAGTTATAGATAAGAATTTTTTCATGCTCGTTTCGGTATGTGCGTTCTTGACTGAATTTGCCAGACAATTACCAAAATCTGAAATTATCGCAGCTGATTTTAATTAAAAACATTTTGATTACAGTAAGACCTTGGCTGTCGGTACTTTCTGATGGAAAAACGAAATTCCAGGATCCGTTGAGTGATAACTTATCCAATGAAAATACGAAATTTTTGGATCGATTAGGAAATAAGTTATTAATGAACTTATTTGATTCATTTCTACAAATTACACAAAAAGTAAAATTATTTTCAGAATTCAGTAAAAACGCCTAAAATATGTTTAATGATTTATAACAAGTTGCATGATTAATGTGGTGAATTAATATATAATTCATTGGAAATCTAAGAAACTGGTATTTTTATTCCTAAATTTTAAGGAAATTGACGTTCTAAAATGACACACGTTCTAAATTATCTGTTACTAATAAACTAACTATTTACAAAGTCCTCATTAAACCACTTTGGACATATGGGATCGAATTATGGGAAACAGCAAAGAAATCAAATATAAAAATCATCCAGTCATTCCCCTCAAAAGTCCTTCAGAAAATTGTAGACGTACCATTTTATCTTTCAAACCTCACGTTACACACTGACCTTAACATTCCTTTCATCGCAGCAACTGCCACTGACCGCTTTAATAATTTTCATGACAGACTGACTCTAAATTCCAATCCACTTACTCAAGCTCTATCTACTGCCACAAATCCATATAATCCGCCCAGAAGACTGCTGAGGCGGTGGCCAAGAGACTTATTGCATTGAGCTACTTGCTGTATTATTTTTTATTTTATTTTTTTGTTTGTGTGTTATTATGTGTTATCTTATTATTGTTTTTTTTTTTTTTGTTTTTTTGTTATTACTATTCTTTTTTTCTTTATGCTACCATTTCTTCTCCTTGATATTATATTTGCTGAATACCGAGGAAGATGGCAAATTTATTGTAAGCCAAGAATATGTATGTTATAATAAATAAATAAATACAATTTTAAGGATATATAAGTTAACTATGCCAGATAATAAACATCTTGAAAATAGGGTTTTTTACACTCCCACATCTCCGTGCGGCGTCACATTAAGATAAAGTTTGAGCAATAGCTCATTTACAAAGAAGATGAAATGATTGACGTTTCCCTAACTTACAGTATGCTGATCAGATGTTTAGTTTCTGATCTATTTTAATCTATATCTTCCATAAATTTCGTTATCATTTTGGTTTTCGACATTATATTTTCCTTTTCGCCTCTCTAACACTGCGTCGCGTTAAAATAGAATTTTAAATCATATTTCATTACAAAGAGGATGAAATGATGAGCATTTCCCACCCTAACGATATGGAGGTCTGATTTTTAGTTTTCGAGATATTTTAATCCAAATGCAAAAACCACATCAATTAGCCGAATTCAGCCGACTTTACCCGAGATCTGAAGGCTCAATTTAATTCACTCTTCACAAAAAAAGTGCAAAACGACCCTAAAAAACTTTTTATTTAAAAAAAATCTCAACATTGGAAAACTTTTTTCATTGTAAATACATATTAAAATTTTGGATGTAAACATAAAATTTAAATTATTGTGTGGACTATAAAAAAATCCACTTTTTTTCATATAATGCCACATTTTACAACTTCTGCGATGAATTTCGTATTACATAAGCTTCTTTATGCATTACGTAAGATTTCTATTACATATTTGTGCATATCAATACCAAATGGCGAGAAAACATGATCACCAAATACTAAAGTTCTATTGTTCGTCTAATTACATTTAATAGGACTTAGAGAATCATTTAAACGCCATTTCATACAGGTAATTACTTTTTTTTTCTTTCTTCCGAAGTAATTATCCTAATATATTGTAGTAGATACCACCCAGTATTTACTCCTTTATGTGGCATTGTGTGACGGAATGAGAAGGAATATATAGGAACTAATAGACCCGTGCGAAAAATTCGCACAGCATATCAAATGCCAAATTAATAAGAAAATAAAATAACGTATCAAAAGATTAAGAACTCAAATGTTACTTTACCGATAAGTATAGAAAACATATATTAATTTAAATCTTCATTTTTGTTTGAACCAACATGTTTCCAAATTTCAGTAAGCTGTATCTTTGCTAAAAATTGTCAGATTTGTAGGGAATTTAGTATTTTTCTATATAATCATGGGCATAAGGAAAAAGTATGTATTTTTTTAGTTATTCGCAAATAAAGTTTGTTTTCTTTCATAACTTGTTTGCCTGAATTTTCGGGGTGATTGGACTATTTTGCCCACCTGAAGGAGAAGGAAACCTTCGAAATTGGTGGCTCGATCTTGAGATTTGGTGAAGAATCAACGATGATATGGCTTGCCGATCAAAAACACCATCGATAAATAATATAAACTCCTCCTCTATCGATTATAGAGACCTCAATTCGACGAAATGAGACATGTATTCAATGACAGTACTACAATTAATGTAAGGTTGTGTGGATGCGAACCCTATGCCTTGCGTTATCTTGAAAATAGTACGTTTTTGGGATTAAAAACGCAGGATCCGATAGTTCCGGAGGAACTATCCTGGTCTATGTTGGGCTATGAAATGAAATGAAATGAAATGAAAATGAAAAATGAAATGAAAAAAATGTTTTATTATTCTGGGACTGTTGTCCCTTAAGAACAAAATATGAATACAGATTATATGTCTGTGTGGCTACAATTAAATTGTATATTTACAATGAAAGTTGACTTACGATAAAAATACAGAAAAGAGAAGGAAAAGAACAAGTAAATTGTACATATGTATGAGAAACTAAAATAACCTTAATAAATTGAGGTAGTCTCTGGTGGTGCTCAGATATTTCTCTTAGATATATTTCACAATCATTCGGATTGAGAAAGGAGTAGGTGCTTAAAGAGGAGAGGTTTAAACGAGGAAACTGATTGAGCGTGTCGAATATCAGCTGGGATGGAATTCCAGAGGGAGGCGGCTTGTATTGCAAAGGATTTGTCAAACGCAGCAGTTCGGTGAGGAGGAGGATAGAGGTCGGAAGTACGAGATCTGGTGGGACGGGATTGGATGGAATATTTGAATTGTAAGCTGTGAAAAATATAGGAGGGTCGATGGGTTCTAATAATTTGGTACAGAAAGGTGGCTAGGAAGTACTGACGGCGATAGGATGGGTAGAGCCACCTCAACTCAGTGTAATACTGGGTAATATGCGTATCCCTTGAGATTCCGAAAACAAATCGTAGTGCGCAATTCATTAGGCGTTTAAGTTTGGCCTCGGAATCTCCCGGGAGTCCACCGTACACCATACAGCCATAGTCGAAGTGGGGGAAAACAAGGGAGGAAACTAGGAGTTGACGGGACTTATATGGAAGGAGATATCGTAGACGATTGAACTGTTTTAGGGTGGAGATAGTGCGACGGGAAATTTGGGAGATGTGAGGTTTCCAGGATAGGGATTGATCGAAAGTAACACCTAGGTTTTTAACGGTGGTGTAGAATAAGATAGGTGAGTTGTTCAGGAAGAGATTGGGAGATACCGGGGAGGATTTGAGGAGTGAAGGGGATCCGATCAAGATGGCTTTTGTCTTCTCGGCATTCAGAGTGAGCCTATGCTAAAGGCTATGCTGGTCTTGCTGTCATTAAACCCCCTCCTAGGCACCCCAGAAGTACTCAATCGACCATAACTTGTATACTCTGAGTTTTGCGCAAGTAAAATTGCTTTAACTTAATCTAAAATAATTTTTTTCCAGTGTCTCTATTCATATATTAGTAGATTAGTGAAGGTTGAAATATATTAAGTCATTTAGAAGTTTGTGAAAAAAAACAAAACTGTATCACTATAATTTACTAAAAGATCCAGGATTTAATTTTTTTGAGGGGGGAGGTCTTCACCAATCACCAATTGGCACATTTAACAAACTCAATTATTAAAATCAAAGTTAAATTAATATTATTATTATTATTTGTAACGGATTAAGTCCATTCCATAACTAATGCAATTAGACGAACAATAATACTTTTAGATATTTTTTTTCTCCATAAAACAGGGTTATATTTCATCATTTTGGGGGAGGGACTTCGCCCAGAAAGCCTTCTCCTCCTCCCTCCCCCCTGTAGATTCGCCTGTGCTATAATCCATGAAGGCTCTTGGGCCCATTTATTAATACTTTGTAAGAAAGTACTTTTTCAAAGCCAATAATTGTACAGGGAGGTGATCAGGCCAGGGTCACGTTCAACCGCCAGGTTTTTCTCTTAAATTAATTATTTAATTAATAGTATCCACATTATAGCGGCTAGGTATGCACCTGGAGGATTTCTCGACCCTAGGGTCGATCCACGGGTGATGAAATAGAACAAATGCTATAATTACTTGCCATCGACCGGATTGGAACCAGGGGCCTTAAGCTTTGGAAGTCAATGCGTTACCCACTAAGTTACTCCTCTCCCATAATTAAATTATATTTTATAGTTAATCACCTAAATATTAGAATATCCGACAGTCAAGAGTCTTCAACTTACCGTAAAAAAGTTCTGGTCCTTCATTTTGGTCTCGGATGATGGAAATGCTGAAAGACCGATGACGTTCGATTTCCGGAAAGACGGTAATTCCGAAGATTCGTTTTCTGGCAGCATCCAAACCTTAAAAAAAAAAAAAAAAAAAGCAACTGAATCTTTCATTCATAAGAAGTTTTATAATTAATGCTAATGGTGCCTTCGTCTCCCCTCTCCTCATGGTCATGGCGGAAGAACCTGTATTCCCAGTCCCCAGATATTTTATTGCTTACCGTTTCTTAAAAACAGAGCAAACGAAGGTAGAATCATGTAAACACCTATTAAAGTTAAAAGTTAATAAGATTTTGATGGTATTTTTCAAGATTATTAGGGTTGATAACTCGGCAGTCCTAAAGTTTATCAAATTTCATTTACTATTTTATCTTACGAATGGGAAAACGTTTTTTCTTGATTTGGTTCGAAGATGGAGATTTGTTTCACCGTTGTAAAAATGGCTAATTTATAAATATATTTTATTGAATTTTCTTTAATATTTTTTCTTATATTTTCCAATGTTATATCCTGTGGATTTTATATTAAACCCAAATAAACAACAAGAAAAATAAATATAAAATACACTTATTCTCACCTGCTATAGGAGTTTTCCTAATATCGAGGAAACAGCTGAAAATTATTTAAAAAAATATAATTATATTAAACTTCTCGTACGCACTAGGAGACCGAGGATTTAATTTTATTTTTGGGAGGAGGGAATTCAGCCCGAAAGCTTGATTATATATATATATATTTTTTCGGTTGGCTCTACAGATCTCTCTCTCTCTCTCTCTCTCTCTCTCTCTCTATATATATATATATATATATATATATATATATATATATATATATATATATCTTATATATTATTAATAAAAGGTGTTTTTTTGTCGGTTCGCCATAACTTCATCAATTCTTCATCAAATGATTGACCATTCATTTTGAAGATATTATCCTCTCTTCCGGTGCGAAAAATAGTCCTATCTCCTCGAAATTTTTAGAGAAAAAGTTACGAAGGAATAGAAACTTTATTACTGAATAAATCAAAAAGTATACATTTTTTCTTGACATTATCTATGATAATTAAAAAGATTACTAAATTACCTACAAATAAAATAAAAAATCGGACAATTATTAACAAAGATACAGTCAATTAGTGTTGATATACTTAATAATTTCTTTATATTTAAAAATAATGCATTTACTATTCTACTACCTTTATTTCCTCTCGTTGATATATGCTTTATTATTTCTTAAAGTAATTTTTTTTTTTTTACAATTTATATTTTTATATTATTTATTTTGAATTTTCTATTTTCAGTCGGCGTTTAGAAATGCATTTAGCAAAGCAATTTGTGCAGATATTTTGGTCTATTATTCTAAATGGAATATTATAATCGACCGAGGAAAAAACATCAATTCATCCCTTACATAATACATATAATCTACTTATTTCCATATTGTTTTGTCTGTCCAACAGTATCCTTTAATAATACCCCACTTATCCGTATTGAACAAATCCGATACCTTAATTTGATAATTTAACCGATAATTTTAGTAAGCTTTATAGTCGAAAATAACAGTTTAATAACTAATAGTCCTACAATCGATAATCATTTATAGATTAAATATTTAGATATACTTTCAAATCTCTCTAGGCATGTATGAGCCTTTCGGTTGACAGAATGAGTAACTCCAATTTCAACATTCTTTATTATACATTTTAGTGATGTTTCTAGTGGCAAAATGTATACCTTTATTCACAGTTCTATATTTCAACACTACAATCATCTACTCTGGAATCAACTTACTCACTGAAATTGTAGTTAGTCATTCTGTCAACTTAAAGGCTCAGAGACTGAAGTTATGTGGTTCATAAAAGCAGATTGAGTAACTAGATTTTTATTGCCTACCAACGATGTAATAAATAGACTTTTTGTTATTATGATTTGTTATCTTTAAGCTTTAGCTCCATTTAAAATGTACTTCAAAAATTTTAGCCCAACATTGCCAGAAAATAATTTCTATTCAAAGTAGAGCGGTAAGTGAAAGTAGTGTGTTGCGCGCACCAGATTTTATTTGAATAAATGTTGTTATTCTTTTGTTATACGAACATCTGTTTACAGAGTATATTGAAACTTTCATTCAAGATATTTTAAACACTCTTTTTTTTTTAATTGAATGGCCAAAAGGTTTTTATTGATTGTAGTATTCTTTCGAACAACTGCTCCCCTAAACAAATTCACACAATTGCAAATAGGGTATTTAAAATTGCTGCTGAGTATTTAAAACAATTCGAGCTAAAAATATTTACTCTTTATTAAATAAAGTGTGTTTGCCAGAAAATAATTTCTATTCAAAGTAGAGCGGTAACTGAAAGTTGTGTGTTGTGCGTACTATATTTTTTTAATTGCAATGTACGCACCTCACAAGAAAAAACTATAAAAATGTCATCCCTAAAAACATTGCAGACCTGTAACTAGCTTATTTAAAAAAAAAACAAAAAAACTAGCCCCCAAAAATTAAATTCTTGATCTATTTCTGTACAAGACAAAAAATAAATATACATCCTTGAATGAGGATTCAATATTAAATTTTGGACCATTAGATTCCATAAAATAGGCCTGAAACGAAATTGTTACATTAATAACTGAAAGAACATTTATATAACGAATATAATAGGTCATCTGGCCAGATTTATTGTCAATTGGTTTAAACAATATTGTTATTCTTAAGGGACCTAGATTTTATATTTCTATTTAAAAAAAAATATCTCAAACATAAAAGTATAAAGATAAAAAATAAATATTTGATTGTAATCCAGAAACATAATTTGAACTTACTTTTTGATATATAAATTAGGAGTTTTCAAAATGTTTCTTGTTATCCTTTTAAACTCTAAGAACTATCTCCATGGGAGAAATCTCTTGAGTGAGTTTCCAGAGCTGAAGAGCAATACCAACTAAACGACTTAAGGCGTTGTTAGATTCGATAGCTTTGTTTTTTTTTATTTTATTCAAATTACTACAGTCACGTGAAAGTCATCAACACAATAATAAAAATTAATGTGTCTACTTTATTTAGTAAAAACCATGTGAAATTTATCCTTCTTTCCTCACATTCATAGAGTAAATAGTCATGAGAAAATTCATTAGAAGTTGTGACTTCTAAGAAAGTAAGCAGGAGGATTTGGTAACAATTCTTAATTTATGTTTTTTCCCAGGTCGTCTGTTCTATAAAAAACTGGAACCTGGCACATAGTTGAGCTAGCGTATAGTTTTTTACCCTAAAGATACTATTTAACTGCTACTGCATATTTATTGAGAGATATTACAATCTGTCACAATTAAGGACTTTTATAATAGTGTTCAGAGAGCACATTCACAATAAATAATACAGAAAAGTAATAATAGTACAATTATATGTATATAAACTAAACTAAACAAAAAGAAACTAAGCTTATGAAGTTGTGGGTCAACTCACCACGACTTTCCTACCTATTTCAGAAAAGTTTTTTATATCTTTACATACGTTCATGCCAAATCCCGTTGTACAATCCCTATCAAGCACCTACCATCTCTACAATCCCCTTCGTAGGTTAAAGCGGCAGTGGTCACGAGACCTTTTGTAAATGTGGATATTTTGGAGTTTTAGCAATGGCCAGATTCTCCACTCAAGTCATGAGTGTCTGTGGCTGTAGCGCTCTTACTCATCCTCCGCTGGTTTTAAATAACAATGAAGCGGCTAAGGGAGAAGCGTAGGGATCTCCTAAGCCTCCCTTTTCCCTCCACATGTGGGGGAACAAGATTGGTTCGGAGATAACCTGGCTGATTGTAAATAGTGTATATAAGTATGCTTGTATCTAAGATGTCTGTTTTACTTTTATTTTTTATTTTTACTTACTTTTGTGTATATATATATATATATATATATATATATATATTTTGTTTTGTTATTTTTTTTTCTTATTCTTTTGTTTTTACTTTATTTATTTATATTTCTGTTTATACGGTATGAATGTAAATCTCTCAACTCTATTATAAGTGTCCTTAACTGAGATCGATTGTAATATTTCTCAATAAAATGTTATAAAAAATATCTGGTGTGTCCATTCACAGAACTTTCCTACCTATTTCAGAAAAGTTTTTATATCTTTACATATGTTCATGAAGAAACAAAAAGAATTGAACTACATTTATTTTCCTGAAAATTAAACAAACAAAAGATTTGAGTACAATTTATTAGATAAACTAAGGCAATGAAACCGGCTTAAGATAGATCAGTGTAAAAATTTCGATACTCAATAATATTGCTGATCAAAAAGTTTTTGCTATAGCTTAATATTGTCAAACAATAATTTCTGTTAAAAGTAGAGGAAATAGTGAAGATTGTGTGATGCGGGCTACAGTAAACTCGTAATCTTTCATTGGAAATTGAATAGCTGTAACTTCGTTAATAGTTGTCCAAAATGAACGATTCTTATATAGCTTTGTAGAGAATTTCATTACCTTTCAAACGATAGGCTAAAAGGACTCAGGGGGCTGTGAAACGTATAGTTCCGTCGAAAACCGCATGTCGGAAATTTGACCCGATTGCAATACTTTCCTTACCTAGTATAGGTAGGAAAGTAATAAAATAAATTTAAAAAATGTGTAAAAAAAAGAATAAGCTGTATCATCGCTAATACTGGTTCGATTCCGATGATTTTTTTTTTGTTTTGTTGGTAATTTAATTACTTTTCAAAAGTTTTATTATAAATTTTACCGTATAATATATACTTAGCGAGTTAGGCCCTATAACATTTTTCTTTTCTTTATAACTTTTTTTTGAGCCGTGGTTGCGCTACAGTCTATAGAAAAACGTGTTTTTCATTTATTGCGCGCAAGCTATTGCGCATGGAGCACCGAATTTCTGTCACAGGCATCGGTAGTCAAAACCCTACAAAATAAAAAAAGAAGCAACAAAATCGGTTCAGTAGTTCCCGAGAAAATCTTGGCACAGACAGACCAATGGCTAAAAATGTGTTTTTCGGACTCAGGGGGCTCTGAAACGTATAGATCCGTCGAAAACCGCATGTCGGAAATTTGACCCGATCGCAATACTTTCCTTACCTAGTATAGGTAGGAAAGTAAAAAAAAAAATATTAACTCAAGATCTACGAGCCAAGCCTTTTTCCCCATTCGAGGAAGGAAAGGAAGGCCTAGGAGATCCCAGCGCCTCACTCAGTCGCATTATTGGTATTCAGGACTCGTCGTGGCTGAGCAGAGACGGTTTAATCGCACATACATGGCTTCAGTGGAGACTCTAGCTATTGCCAAACTCAAATATATGCTTATTCACAAAAGGTCTCTGGGCCACTGCCGCTTCAACCTTCAATGAGGATTGTACGGATGGATGAGGCTGAATCGGGATTTTGCAAGGGGATTTAGATGATAGGTAAGGTTCTTGTGAAATTTGGGAAAAAAATTCTAGGATAAGGCGTAGGACAAATGGTATATTAAGGTCAGGGTGTAGAGTTTTGTTGGTTACATAGAATGGAGCATTAACTATTGTTCGAAGGAGTTTATATTGAAAGGATAGATGTTATAAAATTTTGCTATCCCCAACAGTTCGAGTTCGTATGTCTACATAGATTTCAGTATTGTCTTGTAGATAAGTAATTTGTTTTCATTAGAAAGTTTTAGTTGTGGGTTTTAGTAGTTAAAATTTGTTGGATTATTTAGTTTATTTTAATGTCGTTTGGAATTAGGTATATTTGAATAACTTTTGGTGGATAAATTATCTTGTTACTTCAACATCAAAAAAAAAAAAAAAAAATTAATATAGCTTTGATTAAATTTTAAAAAATATTTCATTTAATTTTACAAGATTTGACGAAAAAAAAAATGAAATGAAAGTTATCAGGATAACTTGTTATCATCATAACAATGCTCTGATGTGAGGTATAACCACTGTACTGCCAACAGTTTGACTGCTTCAGAAGCAATAAGAAAAGAGCAGTCTAGATATGAGATCATACATAGACTGCCAAGCAGCGCCAATGAAATAGGTTCCTTTCTACTCTCCTAAAGTAGTGCTTAACTGCCAGCAGTCGGCGCGGTGGGCAGTACCTCCGAAATAGTATCTCAAAGACTATACCCTATACTATATGAGTCTTTTATTTCCAAAGTGAACCCTGGTCGATTTTTATCGAAATTGAGATAAGTATCGATTCAGAAATAGAAATCTGGTGTGGTGAGCGCATCAAACAACTTTCATTTACCACCCTCTTCTTAGCAGAAATAAGTATTTTCAGGCAAAGGGGAAATAAAAGTAAAAATTATGAATGAATGAATGATTTTTTTTATTGAGTGTTTATATAATATCGTACAATAAAAGTATCCAAGCTCAATAAAAATATATACGCCTTGGTTCTTAAAACCATCAACCGAAGGCTTGCCTTGGAAAAATAAGTATTATTGATACAATAATATAAACTAAAACCTAATATATTAATGTTAATATACAGTGTTAATGCTAACAAATACAGAAATACAATGTATCAGCTCTTAATATCATACACATTTTTAATATAGATATTTTAATATAATTACATGAATAATTTGTATTCATCTAATAATTAAATTTTTGGCATAAGGCATACCTGTATTACCAAGCTACTTAACAATAATTGGATAGACTTATCCAATTTTTTCTGTTCAAATGTGCAATAATTTCCCCAAATTTCAGACTATTTTTTCCAAAATATTTTTTCCTAAGTTTCGCCAGAACATTGCATACACCAAGGAAATACACGTCATTTTCTATTTCATTCCTATTGCATAATGAACATAATTTATTACTTTGTTTCGTAATATACCCTACAGTTTAATTGTATTTTGCTGTGGCTATAAATATCCATTTTATTATCGTTTCATTATATTTCTTATAGAAATAATTACGAATTGATATCTATAATATATCATGATTTAAGTTTTTGTATATATTAGTTCTATTTGAATTTTTGGCTAGGGTTTTGAACCGATTTTCTAATTCTATTGACAGTTTTTCTCTTCTTTTCTGAAAATGCACATTTCATTTATTTATGTTATTAAAATCAAAATCTATTTAGTATTGATTTGTTAAATGTTTTACCTATTTATACCAGCCTATTTCTTTTTTAATTATTTCTTTTGCTATTATTTTGGGTAAGCAATTATCCGAATACTGCATAACTCTACATATAAAATCATCTAGATACAACGGTGTTAATTGCGTTTCTATATGACTAATATATGCAGGTTTATATCGGGGTAAATTTCATATTTTTTTAATGAAATATAACTGAACTTTTTCAACTTCTTTACATTAACAACCTCAACACACCTGTGCACCATAACCTATAATTTATTTAACTGCAGCTTTGAAAACTTTTAGTTTTGAATTCAAATTTATTTCATTATAAGCAAATAGCTTCTTCCATATAGCATTTATACTGATCATTGTTTTAGAATTTTTTTGTTAAAAATACTTACTCATTGATAAATTTGACGTTAATAATATCCTTAAATGTTTATAACAGTTTACTATCTGCATAGTGCGTTTATTAAATTTCTATTTTTTTTTTCGCCAGTTTCCCTCCTTTTCTACATATCATAATTTTAGATTTATTTAAATTCCTCGTCCTACAATACATTTCCAAATTATATATCATATTTTGGAGTGCTAAAAGGCTTGAGGCTAAAATTACGATATCATCTGCATATGATAGCATTTTAATTCTTTTGTTATTAATAGAAAATCCACCTCCCAAGCAATTCTCTAAATCATTGATATAGCAGGAAAACAAAAATGGACTCATAATACATCCATGTTTTAGTCCTCTCTCTGTTTTTAAACTGTTCGTTAATTCATTACCTATCCATAATGATCCTACAGTATTATCATA